CTCGAATTCCGCACAACAACTTTAAATAAGCTCAAACGACAAAATCGATGGAAAAGGAGTGGGTTCAGGCGAACTTAGAGCATTCCAGGCGCGAGGAGTCAGCCCGTACTATCAGAGGCTGCATTTGGGTGCACTGAAGGCGCGCCGCCCCAGCATCTTCCCAGGCATGTTTATTGCGAATATCTCTCTCATTTTCTTACCCTAAATCGCTTTTAATTGATTTCTTTTCTTAAGTTTTTCTTAGATTCAATTATCCATCCTAATTAAACACTAATATACTCAAAGCAACACTCCAAACAATCAATTTCATCTCAAGAAATCATCAAAATTCGAACAAGACAAGATATACAATGAACCTCAAGAACTTAAATTCTTCAAGTTTTTGAGAATGAAATTACATTGAAAATAACATGTTTGACGTGTGGGTGGACAAATCCAACACTATGGAAACTTACATACCTCTTAGGTATTAAACTCATGGCGAAAATCCGCAACTAAACTCAAGAATGTAGACAAACTCCTTCATCCTTTCCTCTTTTCTCCTCATTTCTCTTCTTTTTTTCTTCTTGTCTTTTCTTGAACTCTCAACTAAAACTCTAGGCGTGAGTTAGGATTATAAAACTGAACCTAAAGTATTATACCCCTAAAATGCTACTAAAAATGAATTAAATTTGATTGGGTAAGGAAAGGATCAAAATACCCCTCACTATTTTCGGCTAACTTTCCTTAACTGGACATCAAACTTCAAAAGGTCACATCTCACTCATCCGAACTCAAAAATTAGCAAACTTGGTGGCATTGAAAATATAATTCAAACCTCGTTCCTAGGTAGATTCTTGTAGAACAACTAACTCATCCTGTACTAGGAGTTATGGTCATTTGAATTTGATCCAAAACTCATACCTAGCTTAACTTGCAAAATTTCAGATTTTGCTATTTCAATTTTAATTCTCTTTGGAACTCAATGTGCTAAATCTAGTGAACTGACCTTAATACTTTAGAAATTTAAATTCCTCTAAAAAAATTTACTCACCACGAACGATTGTTTGAGTCTTGGCTCAAAATTTTTACGAGGTATTACAAAAGGATAAAAAAAATATCCCTCAGTTTTATTGTATCGGTTGACTATATAGTATATTATTATTGTAAATTGAAGTTATTCTTACCATGTCGTTATTCATCATTTGTACCCTCAAATGGATGGAAAGCCCCGATCAACTCAAACTATTCAATTTTACTTAAATTACTCAATTTTAACCCGATCCGACTCTCTTAATCATGTAACCCACTTTTTTTTAACTAAATCAACTTTGATTTCCACCAGCAAAAACTCCACTGAAACCACCACCAAAGTCATCACCCTCTTTAGTATCTCCTTTATCATGAAATTGAGTTGTTGGGAGAATTTTTGGAGTACACCACCCAACGTGGCCTGAACACTTCTTCCCAGCAGCACTATTACAGTACTACCACATTTAATGAGCACATCTTGTGGAGAAACTCCGCTAATTGAAGAAAAAGTATAGCACTGTGGTGAGGCAAGATGGGATGTGGCAAGGATTTTGTTTTGAGAAGTGCTCACAATTCAGTAACTTTCGACATCTTTCACACGATGTGGAGTATCAAAGGCTCTTATGCCTGCAGAAGCCCTGGAGGATCTGTTGGTTTCTGTGCCCCACCGCTAGAAGATGGTGGTGTTGAGGATTTTGGAAAGGGTGGTGGCTTTGGTTGTTGTTTAAGTGGAGGTGTTGATGGTAGAAAACAAAGTTGATTTGGGTGAAAAAAACGAGTTATATGATTAAGGGGGTCAGATCGGGTTTAAATTAGATGATTCTAGTTGATTTGAAAGCTTTCCATCTAATTGAGAGGAACAATGATGCAATTAGTAATGGAAAGGGTAAGAATAACTTCATTTTAACGTAAGGTCATGATCAACAAATAAAACAAAATTGAGGGGTATTTATGACCCTTCTCCTTTTTTTCTAATATGTTTCAAAAATAATATCTCCTCCTTTTGATAATTTTTTAATTTTAACTTTTTATATATATGCTTAAGAGTACAAGATTTAATGACATTTTGATATATTTGACATATCTTTAATTTAAAATCACAAGATTTATTGTAGATTGTCTTATTTTAAAACTTTATTAGTTTTAAAAGATGACATGAATAAGTTTTCCTCTCTTGATCAAAGTATTGTTGTTGGTTGTCATCATTCACTTCTAAATCATCCCAATTATAGTAGTAATAGGCAAAAAAGAAGTTACACAAAGGTAACAACTAATAATTGTCACACCCTGTTTTCCCCAAACATGAATGTTTTGAAAAAGAATCCAATTGAATTGATATTTTAAAAAATGATTATTTTATTTCACAACCACTAAAAATTGGGTTTTAATTTTTCAAGTCACCTTATTTGAATCAATGTTCAAAAGGTTGTTGAATTTAATTTCTATTAGTCTGCGAGCTAGAATTTGTATTGACCAAGTGGAAGGTGTACAATTTTGTGGTTCTAGCGCAATCGCTTTATTGACGTATATTTGACTTGACTTTATTTTGGATATATTATAGTTATTGGCTTAATAAATTTACTTATATCCCGTCTTATTTGATTTATTGTAGACTGTCTTATTTTAAAACTTTATTAGTTTGGGAAAAAAAGGTGTGACAACAATGAACTTTTCAAGGATAGTCATTGTAAATCAGAGCAGGTTTTCTTTTTAAAATACTAAAGAATGGAATATCTAAGTTGAGGACTCCCTTAACTTGTATTGGTAAAAAAAATGTGTTGGTACGTACTATGGTGTTGTTGGTTAGTTGGCTACAAAAAACAAGTTTGTAGCCACTTTGTTGGGTTCGTTATAACAATGATTGATTTAGATGTTGTACCTAAGGATCAACTCCATGATTTTATTCACCATTTCTCTCACTCCGCAAAGAGTGGACATAACTTGAGTATATTACTTAAAGAGGTGGAGGGAATCAGTTTCAGATGTAGTGAATATATGCCTATTGATAATACAACACTTAAGGCCAAAGAAGAATGCTTTTGCTTCAACAATATGGTTGGTTCCATTGTCGAGGAGAAGAATGATGGTCATAATAAAGCTTTCTTTTGAATCTTGCATGATCACTCCAATACAAGATCCATCTTTAACCGTGGTGTGAATAGTAGTATCTCAAGCTTTATTTTCATAAGTTTAAGCAGGTTTTTTCAATTCTTAGGAGGGTTGAAGTAGGAGAATTCTTTTTTGGATCAAGTGACAGATCAGAAGGAAATCTAATAATATATGAAAAGATAAATAAAGTATCATATAAAAAGTGAGAAAATGATAATTTTGTTGAAACTTCCTTGCAACTGTCCCAAGTCCCAACTTTCTACTTAACAAGTCACGTTTGCCCATCTTTTTTATATTTTTTCATAACTATCTCTGGAGGGTATCTATTATGCATGATGCATCATATTAAATGATAGTATTATTTGTTTTCTATTTCATATTCATGTTGACAATATAAAATAAAATGAAATAAATAAGATTGACTCTATGTTGAATTGGACATATGAGGATCTCATTGTTTTATCATAAAAGCGGAGCTAATTAAGGATTCATGAGTTCAAACGAAAAGTTAACACTTTAGACATATGAAAATCTCATTATCTCATACTAGTTTTTTAATAATAAAAAAGGAGAGTCAAAACATATATTTACTCTTGTTATCTTGTACTATTTGCTTATTTATCTATTTCATAAAAATAATTTATTTTTATATTATAAAATAATTTATAACTAAACATCTTATTAGCTCTTTATAAATCAAAATATTTTCTTCAACAAAACAAGTTAAAAGAAAAATAAGTTTTATAAATCCCAATTCATGTTGGTTTTTCTTTTCTATCATAATCAAAATTATATTAAATATTTTATAAATAATATCATCTTAACATATTTATTCGAATATCAAAAAAGCTTTCTTCACTTATATAATACATCATCCACCTCAATGTGTTCTCTGTTTTTGCCAACATTCTTTGACATTACAAAATTTGATTTTACTGACAAATAAGCACTATAAGTTTTAATCATCTTTTCTCTTGAAGAATTGTGGGAAAATATGTTCTGTTTTTTCTTTTTAATCTATTTTTAAAATATCGTTTCTTTTTTTTTTAATTTTTTTATATTTAAAATCATAAGGTTAAATGGTATTTTAATAAATTTGATGTATTTTTAGTTTAAGATCACAAGATTCATAAATTTTTTGTACTTTCTTAAATTTCGTATTAAGTCAAAATTATAAGAAATTAAAATAAAAGAAATAGTTTATAACTAATGAAGGGGATCGCTTCAAAAATTGCTCCCACAGTGACTCTGCACCAGTATATATAAATGTGTTTGACTAGATATAAAGTTTAAAATAAAAGAAAGACTATTGAAATATATAGTCTAAATAAATCATATAAACATATGCAAGTTGTAACTATAACTTATCTTATTACAAATGAAATAAGAAGTTTAGAATTAGTCAATTTGCAATCTTATAGTTTTGGATCTAGTCTCAATTTTTTTCTCATAAGATCTAAGTAAAGTTCATTTAAAAGGACATTCTAGCTATGACATAATAACATAGATCTTTTACAACATCATATTCTAGTCTAGATTAATAAACACTACTCAACTAATTCTTCAAAAAATAAGATGGTAGGTAGCAAATATAAAGGCCATAAATCTTAGTAGTACTTCTAACAACAATTAATGATGAAAAAAAAAGGACATACTAATCAATCAAGGGACAAATGGAAAGACAATATTGGAAGAAAAACAAATGAAAGTTAAATGTAATTGATGGTGGTAGACAAAAAAAAATGGCCCACATTAGAAACTTTCTTGAATTATTCTTGAATTCTTTGTTCACATTACAAATTCTACATTCCCACTTTCCACAAATTTTCCTCCTTTAAATCCCCCCTATCTTTTCTTTACTTTTTTATGCAATTCATAAAGAAACCTCTTTGTAGTTACATAGCACCTTCACTTTCTTTCTTTTGTCCTTGCTTATTTCTTCAAAAAAAATTTAGTGATCAATTTTGTCATCTTTATATATAATTTTCAGTGATTTTAAATACTCATTTTATACTTGTTTTCTTGTTTTGAAACACCCCATTTAGTGCTTTGGCTTAAATCTTTCCAATTCCCCAAAAAAAAAAATTGAATCTTTATGCATTTTTGTCATTGAGGAATGAATCTTTTGTCATTCAAGATTGAATCTTTTTGCATTTTTGTCACTAAAGATTGAATCTTTATGCATTTCTGTCATTGAGGAATGAATCTTTTTTGCATTTTTGTCACTAAAGATTGAATCTTTTTGCACTTTTGTCATTGAAGTTTGAATCATTTTGCTCTTTTGGCATTGAAATTTGAATCTGTTTGCATTTTTATCACTAAAGATTGAATCTTTTTGCTCTTTTGTCACTGAAGTTTGAGTCTTTTTACTCTGTTGTCACTAAACATTGAATCTTTTTTGCAATTTGGTCACTAAAGATTGATCCCCAAATGGAGAAAGTTAAAGTTTGGAATAAAGAAAGTCTAATTACTGAGCTTACTCAAGGGAAAGAGTTTGTAAACCAATTTGATCCTCTGGCTTCACCAGAGGAAAATGATTTTCTTCTTGAGAAAATACTTTCCTCTATAGACAAATCATTGTCAATTTTGAATTGTGAAGTTTATAATGGAACAAATGATCCTTTTCCTTTGAGGGATCAAGGCCAAAATAAGAAAAGGTGAATTAATTTTAGTCCTCAATTAAAATAATTTTCTATGGTACTTTCTTGAAATTTAGGTATTGAATTTTTTTTTTCTAATTTTTTGTTGTTGTTGGATTTGTAGAAAGAAAATGCAGCAATGGAGCAAACAAGTTAGAGTACATGGGACAGAGCTTGAAAGTTTTAATCATGATGATGGTTATAGTTGGAGAAAATATGGGCAAAAAAACATTTTAGGAGCTATTCATCCAAGGTAAAATAAAATAAAATAATAATAATAATTAAAAAAAAAAAAGAAGGAAAAAGGAACCCCTTTTCTTCTTTTTCCTTTTTATCTTTTGTTTTGTTTTTCTTTCTTTTTTGGTTGTTAAACTATTTTCATATTATGACAACCACACCTTTTCACTTTTGTTAGGTAGTGATAGTTTTGAAATTATATAATATTCAATGCAAGAATGTCCTTAAATTCACAACAATTCTACTTTTGGGCTTGAAGGGTGTCCAAAAATATAGACAACACCCTAAAGTAGTTACAATTTTATTTCCATTTAGACAAACCTTTTACTCTATTAGATACTTGAAGTATGTTTGCTTTTAATTAATTCTAAAGTATTTACTTGGGAGAAGGGAGCGTATGACGTAACTGATAAAGTTATTATCATGTGATCAGAAACTATGTAAATAGCCTCTTGCACAGATATAAGATTAGCATTAGCGGAAACTTAGTGCACTGAATTATCTGGATTTGTATCTAAGATGAATTTTTCATTTGAAATTGTAGGGCTTATTATAGGTGCACTCACAGGAATACACAAGGCTGCTTAGCAACAAAACAAGTTCAAAAATCAGAACAAGATCCTTTAGTCTTTGATGTGACATATAAAGGAATGCATAGTTGCAAAACCTCACACTCATCAACATTCATTTCATATGAAAAGCAAAAGCCAAATCAGTGTCAAATAAAGAAACAAAGAGTTGAAAACTTGAATACAATCAAAGAAGAAACTGTTCCTTTCACTCCACTACAATGTGAAAGCCACAATGCCCAATGCTTTGTCAATTCCATAGAGCCACTTGCATCAGAATCCATGTACTTATCATTGTTGCCATATCAAGAAGAGGAGTTTGAGATGGACAAGATTCTTCAGAGCTCAGAATCGGATCGTATTGTGTTCAGCTCAACACCAACTTCAATAATTGATTCGCCATTTTCTAGAGATTGGGATTTATCAGTGAATGATCAACTTGATGTTCATGATCCTAACTTGATGATCGACATTTCTGAATATTTCACCTAATTTAAGAATAGTAACAACGTCAGGAATTTATAAGATGTCAGAGAGTCACCTAGAATTGGGCCTTATCGAATGTTTTTTTTTTTTGTCTACACTAACTTGAGAGCCAACTCTTTGGAAAAGTCTACTTTTTGTACTATTCTGTTTTTACTCCTATGCCAATTATAATAGAACTTTTTTTTGGCAATGTACTTTACCATAAATTTTGACACCACTTGTTACAAACGTTAAAAAATAATATCAAATGTCTCTAAGATTTGTTTAAAATACATTTAATGTCATGTCTGTGACAAATTAAAATATAAGTCAGTACTTATTAACATACTTGCATAATTTTGTAAAATGCTGCATACACAAGAGTTTAACCAAACAAATTCAGATACAGGAACTGGTTAATTAAGTTACCTTGGGAAGCCCAAGATTAGATGGACACTTCAAACAATTTTATAAAAGCAAAGTGTCACAATTATAAAATTGTTTGTTCATTGTTGCTATAAAATGTCATTCTTCCTAGCAGAAGTAAGACAATCATCAAGTATCTCCTTCATTCCATATTTGTACACAAAACTTTTTTCAACCAACTTTTTTGATCCCCACTTGATTTCTCTCTTGGTGTCATTCAAGTACCTGAGATTCACAAGTTTTAGAATCACATTTGACAAAATATCACCATATTCATGACATGAAAGTTTATACCATGTGGCCAATTGATCAAATTTCTATATTCTGGGATGATCGAGGAGAGCGTGTTGAGAATATAATTAAATAATAAAAGTGTTGTTCTCTCTAACAACTCAGGTTTTTAAATGAGAAGATCACACACTTCAACATAATATCAGAGCAGGCAAAGATCCTAAGATTGAATCCACTGCCAACTATATTAAAAAGATTTATCACGTGATTGACTCATGAAAGAATCAAGTCCGCACATGAAAAGTCCTAAAACTAAGAAAATGACTTTCCTTAATAGAATGATAGGAACATACGTTTTATAAGTGATATTCTATGCTTATTTTATCCTCCTTACCTACCCAATTCCCCCAACCCTACTCCTTGACGGCTTGACCATCGCAAAACCTTTGATCAAGTGTGAAAGGAAACTCAAACTCAATCATCCCACCACAATTCAAGTCGGTTATGCAAGGAAGTACTGTATAATGTAATGTAGTATGCAAGATTGATAATAACATCTTACTCTTGGTTGACCTTAAACTCTGGATAATTGTGTTGATAGTAATTGCCAATCTCTTCAGTAGAAACATAGGAGCTAGCACACAAGAAACGCCCATTGAGTGAACCAACATTATTCATGAAGAACATATGAGCTTCACACACATCTTCAATATGCACAATTGGAACTTTTCCATTAAGGTCCTCTAAAAACTTGAGTATATTGTACAATTTCTCATCTTGAGTGAACACTGACAAGAACATAGCAGAAGTTGTTGGCATATAAGGCAAAAAAGTATGTCCACCTACAAGGCCACAACATAATGTAACCACCTCCAAACCTTCCTTCTCAAACTTCAACACCTCTTTCTCAGCTAACATCTTTGACTCTACATAATCCTATATATATAATAATATATAAGAGAATTTAAGTTATATATACTGACTATTTACATAATAAATAAAAATTGCACACTTTTGTTCATAACAACTAGATGAGATATAAATGTCATATATCAGTGTGTATATATATAACACCACCTTATTATAACGACATAACACATAAGTATTTCATTTCACATTTATACTCTCCAACTTTGGGTGTGCACAAGTTGACACTTAGACTTGTATAAAATAAAACAAGTAAACACATGAGTTGTACGTGACATAATACGCGTAAGACATCACACCACGTATGATGAAAATTTTCATGTAGGATGTAACATAGGATGTGTGTTTTTATTTGTTTAACTTCACACAATTTTGTGTCTACTTGTGCACACTCAAAATTGAAGGACATAAATGTAAACTATAGTCAAGTTAAATGACATATTTATATTTATAACAGTCAAGAAACTTTTAGACAAACATAAATAAATACATTAATTAAGCTCACCCAAAGCCATTGCTGAGAGTAAGGATTTGAGAAATTAAGAGGTGTCCAACATGTTTCATCCATTAATTGTTTGTAAGTAATTCCATCTTCCTTCAATGGTGAGGCAGCTACAATAGAGGCAGTATAAATAAGTCTCTTTACTGTCCCATTTTTAAGGCAAATCATTCCAATTTTCTTCACTCCATCAACTGTTGCCTCTGTTCTATCTTTATACTGTTTCATATATTAAGGTCAAGATTACAAATAAAAGAAACAAGATTTATTTAAATCAAAAACAAAATGTATATATATGAAACTAAGTAGAAAGTGTGGACCATAACAAATATGAGTATAAAAGATTGAGATGAATTTTTGTTTTTCTAAGAGTTAAACTGTTTATGTTGATAGGGAATTTGCGCATGGAAAATCTTCAATTTTTTTTGAAATAAAATTTATATATTTGTAAACAACGTAAAAAGTATTATAAGTCACAATAATTAATAATTTAAAATGTTCAAAAAATTTATGAAAAATTTACGGTTAAAGATAGACTTGTTTGAATGTCGAAATTCGAAAAGTGCGACATAAAATGGGAAGAAGTATATATTGAAACTTTTTTCAACTCTTTTGATTCTTGATTAATCAATATTAATATGGTATCATAGCTTATAAAATACCGAAAACCACTAAAAAAATTCAGTCTAAGGAAGATTCTGGTTGACTCTCAAAATTTTAATTATTCCATATAAATTAAAATGAAGAGAGTACTTATTATTATAAATCAATTTCATTCGATGATAAAAATAAATAAATTATAATATCAATGCACATAATTCAAACTCAATTATAATTTGGGACGAGAGGCAATGATGAATTCAAAATTTTCCCTGAGTTCAAAATAGTATCTATGGTTTGAACATAGAACTTCAAAACAAATAATTCTGAAGCCCTATATATAATTGTTATCGAGTGAACACCCTCGTCTCTCCTAGATCGGCTCCTGAAAATAGGGATTAATGATGGGTGGAATTCCATACCTGAGAACCTTCATAATGCATTGAAGGTGTGGCAACATGAAAAACAAATTCACAGCCTTGAATAGCTTCCTCAAATTCCTCAGCTCTATAAATGTCAGCTTCAAATAACTTAGTAGTCCCACCTTTGATTCATCCTCTACATTTAAATCAACTTAACTAATCATTTCACAAAATATCCACACATTACGAAAAATGGAAAACAGATTTTCATTGAAACATTAAATGTGTAAAACAACTAGTCTTTTTTACACACATTTTGAGAAATTCGAGCAACGTAACTCAGGAATAAAGGAAATTAAAAGCATACCTAAGTTTCTTAGGGTAGCATGAACAATGTAACCTATATCCAAAAGCATTTTTTACAAGAGAAGAACCTATGTACCCTGCACCTCCTGTAACACAAACCTTGCAAGTGCTTTTCTCCTCCATTTGTTGGGACTTTTGCTTTATCTCTTCCTCCACAGCCACTTCTATATTTGAGATATTATATCATCTTTTAAGTGATTGATAAAAATGGATATATACAACAAGGGACCCCATGTGTTATTTTGTCCTATTGTATTATATGTTAAAAGTTTATTAAGGTACTATATCTCTATATGGAAATTAAAATATTAGTTATGTTGACATTATAATGAAATATTTATAGTATCAATGCAACTTGACATGTGTTTATATCTCATTATTATGCAAAGCACCAAAAAAATTGAGTATTGCTATTCAAATTCATGATACTCCCCCATTTTAACAAATAAAAAAATGAACTTTTTTTTTGCTATTATATTCTCAATTACTTAATTTTGAAAAAGATAAAATTTCAAAAAAATCTTTTTAAAGATTGAATCTTTTTGCTCTTTTGTAATTGAAGTTTAAATCTTTTTGTATTTTTGTCCTAAAGATTGAATCTTTTTTACTTTGTTGTCACTTAAGTTTGAATGTTTTTGCATTATTTGTCGCTAAAGATTTGTCACTGAAAATTGAATCTTTTTGCTCTTTTGGTCCCTGAAAATTGAATCTTTTTGCTATTTTATCACTAAAGATTGAATCTTTTTGCTCTTTTGTCCCTGAAAATTGAATCTTTTTATTAGCTAGTGATAGTTTTGAAAAATATAGAACCCCTGAAGTAGTTACAATTTTATTTCCATTTGGACAAAATTATTACTCTATTATAGATACCTCATGAAGTATGTTTGCTTATTGAACATAAAGAAGTGTGTTTCTTTAACAAAATTAAAATTAGTTCTAAGTATTTAGCTGGGAGAAGGGGAGTCTTGACGTAACTGATAAAGTTATTGTCATGTGATCAGGAGGTTAAAAGTTTAAATTTTATAAATAGTCTTGTGCAGAGATACAAGATAAGCATAGCAAAAGCTTAGTGCAGTGAACTATCTGAATTTTTATCTAAGATGATGTTACATTTGAAATTGTAGGGCTTATTATAGGTGCACTCTCAGGAATACAAAAGGCTGCTTAGCAACAAAACAAGTTCAAAAATCAGAACAAGATCCTTTAGTCTTTGATGTGACATATAAAGGAATGCATAGTTGCAAAACCTCACAATCATCAATATTCATTTCATATGAAAACCAAAAGCCAAATCAGTGTCAAATAAAGAAACAAAGAGTTGAAAACTTGAATACAATCAAAGAAGAAACTGTTCCTTTCACTCCACTACAATGTGAAAGCCAAAATGCCCATTTCTTTGTCAATTCAATAGAGCCATTTACATCAAAATCCATGTACTTGTCATTGTTGCCAAATCAAGAAGAGGAGTTTGAGATGGACAAGATTCTTTAGAGCTCAGGATCGGATCGGATTGTGTTTAGCTCAACGCCAACTTCAGTAATTGATTCGCCATTTTCTAGAGACTGGGATTTATGTGGATGATCAACTTGATGTTCATGATTCTAACTTGATGATCGATATTTTTGAATTTATCACCCAACTTAAGAGTAGTAACAGTGCCAGGAATTTATAAGATGTCAGAGCGTCAAACCTAGGATTTGAACCTTTGACCTTAGAATTGGGTTATATCGAGTGTATTTTCGATTGACACCTAACTTGAGAGCCAGCTCTTTGGAAAAGTCTACTTTTTGTACTTTTTTTTTCTCCTATGCCAATTTTAGAAGAACTTTTTTCAATGTACTTTAACATAAATTTTGACATCACTTGTTACAGACGAAAAAGAAATGTCAAGTGCTCTAAGATTTTTCTGAAATATAATAAAATATCATGTATGTGACAAATTAAAGAAGTAAGTGTTACAATTATAAAATTATTTATTCAATGTTGCTATAAAATGCCATTCTTCCTAGCAGAAGTAAGACAATCATCAAGTATCTCCTTCATTCCATATTTGTACACAAAACCTTTTTCAACCAACTTTTTTGATCCCCACTTGATTTCTCTCTTGGTGTCATTCAAGTACCTGAGATTCACAAGTTTTAGAATAACATTTGACAAAAATATCACCATTTTCATGACAGGAAATTTTACTCCATGTGACTAATGATCGAATTTCTATACTCAAGGGTGGATAGTCGAGGGGTGTGTTGAGAATATAATTAAATAATAAAAGTCTTGTTCTCTTTAACAGTTTAAGTTTTTTAAATAAAAAGGTTACACACTTTAACATGGTATCAGAGCAGTCAAAAGTTTTGAGATCTAATCTCATCACCACTTATATTAGAAAGAATTATCACGTGATTGACTCATAAAAAGAATCATGTCCGAGTTAAGAATTCATCACCAACTTAATTATGAACTAAGACAAGTCAAGAAGAATCTAGAATATTCCAGAGTTATGGAGAATTGAAGGAAGATCTCTAGAAAAAGTATTCTAGAGAGAATAGTCTAGAAATGTTCTAGAATTAAGTAGTTGAAGGAATATTCTAGAATAGAGTATAAAAATATACTTAGTTAGATTGTTCCATCAGCTCCTATAAATAGAGGTGATCCATTTGAGTTGTAATCAACCAAGTAAGTAAGTAAGCAAGAGTGAGTGCTGAAGCAAGCAACAAATGTGATCAAGATTGTAAGACTGAAGCGGGTTCTTAATTTGATAAAGTTGTAAGAAATCGATAGTGCCCCTAGTGTCTCCACACCCAAATATATCCAACAATCCACACATGAAAACACCTTAAAAAGGAAGAAATTGACTTCCTTAATAGATATATTCAACGTTTATTTTATCCTCCTTACCCACCTAATTGAATCATTTCTATTCCTAGGACTTGAAACCAAAACCTTTGATTAAGTACGAAGGTATCTCAACCATCACAGCACAACCCAAGTCGGTTATCAAGGAAGTAATGTATGTAGAATGCAAGATTGATAACAACATCTTACTCTTGGTTGACCTTAAATTCAGGATAATTGTGTTCATAGTAATTCCCAATCTCTGCAGTAGAAACAAAGGAGCTAGCACACAAGAAACGCCCACTGAGTGAACCAACATTATTCATGAAGAACATATGAGCTTCACACTCATCTTCAATATGCACTATTGGAACTTTTCCATTAAGATCCTCTAAAAACTTGAGTTTATTGTACAATTCTTTCTCTTGAGTTAACACTGACAAGAACATACCACCACTTGTTGGGATATAAGGCAAAAAAGTATGTCCACCTACAAGGCCACAACATAATGCAACCACCTCCAATCCTTCCTTCTCAAACTTCAATATCTCTTTTTCTGCTAGCATCTTTGACTCTGTATAGTCCTATAAAGAAATAAATAACCAAAATTTATGTTGTTTTTTTTTAAAGTTTCACACTTTAATACAAATCAGTTGTTCGTTTTTTCTACTTGAATTATCACTACTTATGTAATAGTAAAACATACTTCGACGCTAACTAGTTTAATAATTTATTTCATTTTTCTACTTGAACTATCAACATCTACTCAACTAGATGTGTTTTAGTGTGTGTGTGTATATGTATATATATATATATATATATATATATAGAGAGAGAGAGAGAGAGAGAGAGAGAATGATAGTTAATATAGAAAAAAGGAACAACAGATAATTGAAATATGAAATTCATTAAAAAAATTATGATGATAATAATTAGGGGTGTCAAAAATGAACCAAACATAGATAACCCACCCAATTCGCTCAGAATTTTAAGGGTTGGCTTTAGACAATTTGAATTGAGTTCAATCTTAATCTGTTCAAGCCTAACTCATTTCAAGAGGATCCTAAATTGATCTCAAGTTACTCCATTTCAAGAGGATCCTCAATTGATCTCAATTTACTCTTAAATTTCAATCCATTTTAAAATTTTTTACTAAGACTTGTTCCTATATTAAAGGTATGAATTATTATCTACTTGACATCTTTTAGGATTTATCTATCCATTTGTTAATTTTTTTTATAAAAAAAATGATTTTGAGCTGAAATTTGAATTGTGATTATAAAAATTAAATATCACTATGCTAAAATTATTGAGATTAATCGATCAAATCGAGCTGGTCAAGACCAACCCATTTTTAGTCTATTTGAACTCAACATATTTGAGTCCAAAGTAAACTTGGACGGGTCAAGACCCAACCTGTTTTTTATTTCAGCCGTTTCAATATCTCGAATTTCAATCCAACTCGTCCATTTGACACCCCTAATGATAATATAATGCATCATATAAAAAGGTAAATAAATAGATTAATTAGGCTCACCCAAAGCCATTGTTTAGTGTATGGATTTGAGAAATTAAGAGGTGTCCAACATGTTTCATCTATCAATTCTTTGAAAGTAATTCCATCTTCCTTCAATGGGGAGGCAGCTACAATAGAGGCAGTATAGATAAGTCTCTTCACTGTCCCACTTTTAAGGCAAATCCTTCCTATTTTCTTCACTCCATCAATTGTTGCTTCTGTTATATCTTTATACTGTTTCATTTTATATCAAGGTCAAAGTTACTTATAAAAGAAATAAAAATATGTGTTAGACATAGTGCTAAAATCATGCTTGTAATGTCAATGCATATAAATCAAACTCATGACGAAAAAGGAATAAGTGTCTCGAATTTGAACTTGAAAAAGTTAAAAGTAGATCTTGAATGCCTAAATCACTACGCGAATTTGACTTATCCTCTACATTTAAACGAACTTAAGTAATAATCTTAAAAACATTCACGCGCTACGAAAACGGAAAACAGATTCTCATTGAAATACTGAATGTGTAAAAATACTAGTCTTTTTACACACATTTTGAGGAATTCGAGCGACATAACTTAGGAATAAAGAAAATTAAAAACATACCTAAGTTTCTTAGTGTAGCATGAACAATGTAACCTTTATCCAAAAGTTCTTTAACTAGAGATGAACCTATGTACCCTGCACCTCCTGTAACACAAACCTTGCAAGTGTTTCTCTCCTCCATTTGTTGGGACTTTTGCTTTATCTCTTCCTCCACATCCACTTCTATATTTGAGATATTATATCATCTTTTAAGTGATTGATAAAAATGGAGCTTGTGGACTATATAAAACTAGGGGACCCAATGTGTTATTTTGTCCTATTGTATTGTTATCTGTTAAAAGTTTATTAATGTACTATATCTCTATATGGAAATTAAAATATTAGTTATGTTGACATTATAATGAAATATTTATAATATCAATTGCAACTTGGAGTTAATATCTCAAAAGGTTATTTAACTTTGTAAATGTATTTAGTAAATTTATTAAACTTTATTTTGTATCAATAAAATCACTCAACTTATACATTTATATCAATAAAATCACTCTACAAATTTATCATTTAAAAAAAAATTGAAATGACAAACTAATTTCTTTTTATAGCATGAAAATATGAATTCATAAATAAATAAAATTTAAAACCATTAAAGGATATAATTTATTTTAACTAGGCGTTACATATAAGCGAACAAGGTTGCTGCCAAGTTATATGTTTTTTAATGATATAATTTCCTTTTTTATGTTGATCAATTTGAAGTTTGAACATAAAATAACAACACTGATCAATTTTTTATCTAATATACAAGTATATTTTACTAGACAAATTTTTAAAATTGAATGGTCTTTTAAGAAATTAACTTATGCAACTTGACATGTGTTTATATCTCATTATTATGTTAAGTACCAAAAAAATTGAGTATAGCTTTTTAAATTCATGATACTCTCACTGTTTTTAATTATTTCTCTAATTTTTCTTTTATTTGTCTATTTTAATATGTCAAAAAAAGAAAAAAATTATTTATTATACTCTCAATTAATTAATTTTGAAAAAAATAAAATTTCTGGAAAATCTTTAATTTTTCACCTTAAAAGATTGAAGCTTTTTGCTCTTTTCTAATTAAAGTTTAAATCTGTTTGCATTTTTGTCCTAATTGAATCTTTTTGCTCTTTTGTCACAGAAGTTTGAATCTTTTTTGAATTTTTGTCACTAAAGATTGAATCTTTTTGCTATTTTGTCACTGGAGATTGAATCTTTTTGCTCTTTTGTCCCTGAAAATTGAATCTTTTTATTAGCTAGTGATAGTTTTGAAAAATATAGACATCCCCCTGAAGTAGTTACAATTTTATTTATTTCCATTTAGACAAACCTATTACTCCTCATGAAGTATGTTTGCTTATTGAACAAGAACAAGTGTGTTTATTTAATAAAATTAAAATTAGTTCTAAGTATTTAATTAGTTAGGAGAAGGGAGTTTTGACGTAACTGATAAAATTATTGTCATGTGATCAGAAGGTTAAAAATTTGAACTTATAAATAATCTCGTGTAGAGATACAAGATAAGCATAGTGAAAACTTAGTGCAGTGAACTATCTGAAATTTTATCTCAGATGAATGTTACATTTGAAATTGCAGGGCTTATTATAGGAGTTTGAGATTGACAAGATTTTTCAGAGCTCAGGATCATATTGAGTTTAGCTCAACGTCAACTTCAATAATTGATTCACCATTTTTTTAGAGACTGGAATTTATCAGTGGATGATCAACTTGATGTTTATGATCCTAATTTGATAATCGATATTTCTGAATATTTCTCCTACTTAAGAGTAGTAACAACGTCAGAATTCATAAAATGTCATAGAGTCACATACAAGATTTGAGCCTCTGATCTAAAAGCGAGTCATATGACTATGTTTTCGATCTTCGATCTACTTTTTGTACTATTTTGTTTTTTCTCCTATGCCAATTATAAAAGTGTTAAGACCGAAAATAAGCAGTGTAAACGCGGAAGCTAGCAATGCAAATCTCGAAAGACTACGAGTAAGAAGACAATCAGAAATATACCAAAAGACACAAAGATTTAACGTGGTTCGGTCAATCGACCTACGTCCACAAAGGAGATGAGTAATCCATTATAAATATGAGAGTACAAAATACAGAGAGAAACAACCTCAACCAATTCACTCGGAATACATGGGAGGTTCACACAAGTGATAACGTATCAAGCTTGTGACCCAATTCTCCCCCTAACCAAAACTCTCAAAGCCCTTAAGACTACATTGTGAATGCTGATTAAGTTAGAAGGAACATGTTTCTATTAATAGAGCCCTAAACCTTTTCCTACTAGAAAAAAGATTAGTCAATCCAAAATCTTTTCTTAAAAGGAAAACCTATTTATGGAAAGAAATTTAGGGCAAATAAAACCCAACAAAAAGAACTTTTTTTGGCGATATATGTTACCAAAAATTTTGACACCACTTGTTACAAACGTAAAAAAAATATCAAATGGCTCTAAGATATGTCCAAAGTATATTGGGAAAATGCATAAGTATCTTCGTGAACTATGCACGAAATTTTAGAGAAACACTTATAAATATACGAAAGTCATATTATCCTCCTGAACTTATTTTATGAATAATTTTTCACCCCTTTTCGGCTTACGTGGCACTATCTTATAGGTCCAACACGTGTTGATAATTTTTTCAATCATAGTGCCACGTAGGGAGATAAGGGGTAGAAAATTATTTATAAAATAAGTTCGAGGGAGTAATAGGACCTTAGTAAAGTACAAGTGTGTCTCTAGGATTTCGAGCATAGATTAAGGGGATACTTATGCATTTTCCAAAATATATTTTATGTCGTGTCTGTGACAAATTAAAATGGGATAATGCACAAGTACCCCCCTCAACTTATGCCCAAACTCCCAGAAACACAGTTATACTATAATAAGATTTTATTACCCCCTGAACTTATTATATAAATAATTTTCTACCCCTTTTCGTCCTACGTGGCACTATCGTGTAGGTCCAACGTGTGTTGATATTTTTTTCAAACTATTGTCACGAAGACCAAAAAGGAGTAGAAAATTATTTATAAAATAAGTTCAGGAGGAAAATAGGACATTACTACAGTATAAGTGTGTCTCGGAAATTTCAGACATAGATTAAGGAGATACCTATGCATTTTCCCAATTTAAATATAAGTTGGTGCTTATTATCATACTTGTATAATTTTGTAAAATGCTGCATACACAAGAGTTTAACCAAACAAATTTTGATATAGAAACTAGTTAATTAAGTTTCCCTGGGAAGCCCAAGAATAGATGGACACTTCAAACAATTTTATAAAAGCAAGTGACACAATTATAAAATTATTTATTCATTGTTGCTATAAAATGTCATTCTTCCTAGCAGAAGTAACACAATCATCAAGTATCTCCTTCATTCCATATTTGTACACAAAACCTTTTTGAACTAACTTTTTTGATCCCCACTTGATTTCTCTCTTGGTGTCATTCAAGTACCTGAGATTCACAAGTTTTAGAATCACATTTGACGAAAATATCACCATATTAGAGCCACACAGTTTAGCATGATATCACAGTAGACAAAGGTTTTGAGATTAAAACTTACCGCCACTCATATTAAAAAAAAAATTCAAATAATTGACTCATGAAAAAGAATCGGGTCCGCATGTGAAGTGGGAGTCATTTTGTTTTTCTGACTTTCTCATATTTGATTAGATAAAATTTTCAAAAAATATATTATTTAGGAAAGCAAGTTCCTTAAAAAATGACTTTCTTAATAGAAGTACATAAATAAGTTTTTTATGTTTATTATAGGCATAATACATAAATATGTCCTTTAACTTGGTATCATTTTATGTTTATGTCCATCAATTTTTGGTATGCATAAGTAGTCACTTAAACTTGTATAAAATTGAACAACTAGACACATGAGTCATACATGACACAATATACATAGGACACCACGTAGGATAAAAAATGGCATGTAAGATGTCATGTAGGACATGTGTGTCTACTTGTTCAACTGTATATAAATTTAAGCGTCTACTTCTGCACACCCAAAGTTGAAGGACATAAATGTAATTTGAAACCAAGTTAAAGGGTATATTTATGTATTATGTCTTTATTTTATCCTCCTTACCCACCCAATTCCCCCGACCCCACCCCTAACCATACCAAAACATTTGACTAAGTGTGAAAGAAACTCAACTATTTCATCACAATTCAAGTCGGTTATCAAGGAAGTAATGTAAAATGCAAGATTGATAATAACATCTTACTCTTGGTTGACCTTAAACTCTGGATAATTGAGTTGATAGTAATTGCCAATCTCTGCAGTAGAAACAAAGGAGCTAGCACACAAGAAACGCCCATTGAGTGAACCAACATTATTCATGAAGAACATATGAGCTTCACACACATCTTCAATATGAACAATTGGAACTTTTCCAATAAGTTCCTCTACAAACTTGAATTTATTATACAAATTCTCCTCTTGAGTGAAGAGTGACAAGAAGATAGCACAAGTGATTGGGATAAATGGTAAGTAAGTCTGTCCACCTACAATGCCACAACATAATGTAACCACCTCCAAACCTTCCTTCTCAAACTTCAATTTCTCTTTCTCTGCTAGCATCTTTGACTCTGTATAATCCTATAAATAAATAACCAAAAATTATGTTTTAGGCAAGTTTCACACTCTAAGTTGTTCGTTTTTTCTATCTGAATTATCACCACTTACATATTAGTAAAACATACTTCGAAGCCACTCAGCTAGATATGTTTTAGTATATATATTTACAGATAATGATTGTTCATGTAGAGAAAAGGAACAACTAATAGTTAAAATGTGAAATTAACGAAAAAAATAATAAATTCAGATGTATTTTTGGACAATATACTCTTTATATATTTATTAGTACTAGTTTCTGAGCACGTGTTTCGCACGTATGTTTCATGTAAATTTTTATAGATAACTAAAATATGATGGAAATATATATGTAAATTGTAATGAATAATAAAATGTAACAATTACAAAATAAGAATAAGGACTTACGGCAATGAAACATTCATAGAAAACTAAATTAAGAAGTCTAACAGAGAGAAAAAAAGACAAAAAGAAACAGAATATTTAAGAAAAATACAATATAGACATTATTCTTATAAGATTGATGTATATATAGATGAAAAAATAAGTATAAAATTAGTACATAACTCTTTGAGTTCTTATTGATTCCTTTCATATACTATCAAAATTCAAAAGTCTTCATGATCTACTTTTACTATAGAATAAAAATAATAGTCTAATAATCTTGATTGTCATGAGATAAAGAAGTTGAATTTATATAAATAGAATTGAAGGAATATCAAAAGATATCTTAACGTTTTAGTTTAAATATTTGGAGGTTATGAATATGAAAAGATGAGAGTTATGAATATTAAGAGTATAAAAGTTGAATAAATAATTAGAAAATAATAATAAATAAATGAAGAATATGAAAAAAATTAAAGTTAGCAAATCATGTAGAAAGAACAATTAAAGTTCTTATCATGTAATTAAGCGCATCAATGAATTTAAATTTGACAAAGCTAGAGTCATTCTTTAATGATAATCAAGAGGACATTATCAATGTGTGTCTCCATTTTGTAGATTTGCACCCTTTAAATTATTAAATTTCATTATTTATCATAAAGGATAATACTTTATCCACATCAATTATATTATTCATGAGAGGGGTTAAGGAAAAAGTTATAAGAAGAGGAAAAGTAAAGAAATTTAGGTAAAGAGTTTTTTTTATTAAAAAAATTAATTATTATATACATATAGATTATAGATGATAAATATCAATAAATTAAATATTTAATTAGGAATTAATCTTAGGAAGTCTAAAAGTCATTAACATTTAATCAAATTTACACAATCAAATATTGAAATATTTTATAACAATTTAATTTATAGAAGGGTAAAACCGTAATTCAACTTTCAACTTTTTTGTTCATGCTTTTAGTAATGTATAATTATTAACTTTGGAATCAAAGGCAAAGCAAGGATTAAGAGTTTGGGGGTTCTAAAAATTTTGTTAATAAATGTCAATCAATTTTGGTAGGGGTTCACAAATTAATATATATAAATATTTAATTGATTTTCTAGTACAAATTAGGATCTACGAAAAAACTACTGAATTCGTCCTAACCCATGAACCCCCACCTAGCTCCGCCTCTGTTTGAAATAAATGGTAAGTAATCTAGTATATCCACTTATATTATTACATGAAAGTATAAAACAAATGAGAAAAATTGATTTAAAAGTGTAACAGTGACCTCAAGAAATTGGAGATTACTAGGATTCACTGTAGGGCAATTGAAATACTTCCTCCATTTTAAGTTGGGGAAAAGAATAAATATATCTTGAATTATCCTAAATGGTATGTAGATATCTCTATCATACTTAAGGGACATTGGTGCCTCCGCTGTTCAAAAACTAGAGCATATATTGTCACTCACTCTAACGGAAAACTAAGTGGGAACATGTGGCACAATCTCATCCGTCGATTTGATATTTAATAAATGTCAGGTTAGTGGATAAGATTGTGGATGTATGTTAGCATAAAAGGTATATATGCTCTATTTTTTTGACTGCAGGAACACCAATGTTCCTAAAATATGACGGAGGTATCATATCATTTATGATAATTCAGGGTATATTTGTCATTCTCCCCTATTAATTTGTTTGGCCTAATTTTAATTAGGGAAAGGGAAAAATATACCTTCGAACTATCGTAAATGGTATGCAGATGTCCTCCGTGATACTTTTAAAGCATTGGCGCCCTGCTGTTCAAAAACTAGAGTATATATGCTCTCCACTCTAACAAAAGACTAAATAGGGACATGTGGCGCAATCTTATCCGTTGATCCGATATTTCAGAAATGTCGGGTCAGTGGATAAGATTATGACACGTGTATGTCAGTTAGTATAAAGAGTATATATGCTAAAGTTTTTGGACAGCAGGGGCACCAGTGTTCCAAAAGTATGATCATTGATGGATGGTATCTGCATACCATTTACAATAGTTCGAGGGTATATTTGTCTTTTTTCTCAAAAACTAGAGCATGTATGCCCTTCATTCTAAGGGAAGACTAAATAGGGAGCGTGGTGCAATCCTATCCGTTGATCCGATATTTAATAAGTATCGGATCAGCGGTCGTGTATGTCCGTTAGTATATATGCTCTAATTTTTGGACAGCAGGAGCACTAATGTCTCAAAAGTATGACGGAGGGTACTTGCTACCATTTACGATAGTTCAGGGATATATTTATCATTTTCTCCTTTTAAATTTAATATCGAATTCTTAGAAAATATTTTATTTTGAATCTTGCGATATTAAAATAAACATATGTCAATTGTATAATTATCTTTTAATTTTCTAGATAATTAGAATTAAAAATTGATAAAACGATAAGAATCATATTTTAGAAAAAGACTAAAATATAGAAATCAAATAAATTGAAACGTAGGGAGTAAAAATATTAGGCTCACCCAAAGCCACTGCTGAGAGTAAGGATTTGAGAAATTAAGAGGTGTCCAACATGTTTCATCCATTAATTGTTTGTAAGTAATTCCATCTTCCTTCAATGGGGAGGCAGCTACAATAGAGGCAGTATAAATAAGTCTCTTTACTGTCCTACTCTTAAGGCAAATCATTCCAATTTTCTTCACTCCTTCAACTGTTGCTTCTGTTTTATCTTTGTACTGTTTCATATATCAAGGTCAATCAAAGTTAATTATAAAATAAATAAAAATAAAAAGATAAGGATGATATAGTGTTAGACATAGTGCTAAAATTATGCTTGTAATTTATATCTTTGTAAATAAATAATTTCTAATATATCAATGTTTATCATGGTATCAAAGCTTATAAAATATTTAAAAGAATATAAAAGAATCAGTCATAGAAATTTTGATTGGCTCTCAAAATTTCATTGTTACATTTATATATATTAAAACAAAAATAATACATAAAATAATAAATCAATTTATTTAATGATGACAAAAATAAATATTAACTATAATGTCAATGCGTACAAATCAAACTCATTTCAGAATTGGGATAAGTGTTTAGAATTTGAACTTGAAAAGTTAAGGTAAATCTTGAGTGTCTAAATCACTAAGCCAACATCTAGCTAGTCTTGTAACACTCCCTCTCATTTTATGTGAGGTAATTTGACTCGACACAAAATTTAAGAAAAGAAAGAAAGACTTTTAAAATTTGTGGTCCAAAGTACTTCAAAATGAATGATAGAAATTTGTTTGACTGTATATCATTTCATTAAGGCTAAAATGAATATTTTATAGTTAAATTGTTACTTAATATAAAAATATGTCATTCTTTTTTAAATTGACTAAAAAAATAAATCACATAAATTGAGACGAAGAAAATATATATTTTTATTGAAAAAGTTTGAATGAACACCCTCGCTCCTTTCTAAAATCAACCCTGATAATTCCATACCTGAGATCCTTGAGAATGCAATAAAGGGGTAGCAACATGGAAAACAAATTCACAGCCTTGAATAGCTTCCTCAAATTCCTCAGCTCTATAAATGTCAGCTTCAAATAACTTTAATCTTTCATCAGCACCACTTAAACAATTCAATATTCCCACCTTTGACTCATCTTCTACATTTAAATCAACTTAACTAATCATCTTAAAAATATACACATATTACGAAAACGAAAAATAGATTTTCATTAAAATATTGAATTTTTAAAAAAAAATTTCATGTAAAAACACTAATTTTTTTTTTTTAATAATAGATTCAATTAAAATACCTATAAAAATACCACTGAAAATTTTTCAGTAAAAAATAATAATATTTTGAGAAATTCGAGCAACATAACTTAGAATAAAGGAAATTAAAAACATACCTAAGTTTCTTAGTGTAGGATGAACAATGTAACCTTTGTCCAAAAGTTTTTTAACAAGACACCTCCTGTGACACAAACTTTATAAGTGTTTTTTTCCTCCATTTGTTGGGCCTTTTGCTTTATCTCTTCCTCCACAGCCATTTCTATATTATGATCCTTAAGTGATTGATAAATAGAGCTTGTGGACTATATAAAACTAGGGGACCCTATATTTTGGTACTATATCTCTATATGGAAATTAAAATCTTAGGTATGTTGACATTGTAATGACATATTTATAGTATCATTAAAATGCAACTTAACATGTGTTTATATCTCATTATTATGCTAAGTACCAACAAGTTGAGTATCACTATTCAAAAATTCATGATTTTCCCTTTCTCTCTAATTAGTTGTTCATTTTTTTTTTGAATGTGTCTTTTTCTACTTGTTTATTTTGGCAAATCAAAAAAGGATAATTTCTTAACTTATTATACCTTCAATTAATTAATCTTAAAAAAGATAGAACTTCTTGAAAATCTTAAATTTTTTATTCATCCACTTCAACTTTATAATTAATAAGGATAAAATGATAAATTCATTATTTCAATTATTATTTTCTTAATAGGTATATCAATTTAAAAATAAATAACTAAATAGGGATAGAGGGAATATTAAGATTACAAAATATTCAATTGTATTCTATCTTGTCATGTCAGTAATCTAAATTTACAAAAAATAAAAATTTAAAAAATATGGCGTGACTGATGTATTGATTTTTGAAATTAAGTTAGAGCCACAACTCATTTTTTATAGAATATATATGAAACTTATTCATTAACTACCTATGTAAAACTTTTTCGTTCTTCAACAAATTCTTCTTCACCTCTTCTTTGGTATTGTTTAGAAAAATTACAACTTCAAATAATTAAAAGTACATAAAGATTACACTTCAGATATGGAATTTTGACTTTCAATATGAGATGTTTATTTATTGTTACTATAAAATGTCATTCTTCCTTGCACAAATAACACAATCATCCAATATCTCCTTCATCCCATATTTGTACATAAAACCTTTCTCAACCAACTTTTTCGATCCAAACTTGATATCTCTCTTGGGATCATTCAAGTACCTAGGAAAAACAATAACATATTCCCGAGGAAAATAAGTTACTTAAAATAAGGAAAATGACTTAGCTAATTAGTCGTAGAAACAAGTCCCAAAAATAACACTATAAGTTCATCGTCTCATCTCCACCTCTAATGACCCTAATTGACCACCCCAACCCTATGTCATCCCACCTCACAATGTTTCCTAAATTACATATATATATTTATAGGACAACATCTTTTTGTTTTTTTCTTACCAAAAACACCAAAATAAAACCTACTTATTTTCCTTGAGAACCCTTTCAAGAATTGGAAATTGTTTTCCATTGAACCAAACACAAGTCAAATACTCCTTTAGTTTGTGATTAATGCTATCAAATTTTTTGTTTTATTTTATTTTGGCTTTCCATATTTGATATCTGTATTGGAATTCGATTAATTATTCAGCATGATCCATTTTTAAAGCACTCCCAACATGAACTCAAGACATATGATTAAATATTGAGAAATTCCAACCATCCCACCACGTACACCCCACCCCAAGTCACTAATCAGTAATAAAGTTGATATATATAGTATCTTACTCTTGGTTGACCTTAAACTCTGGATAATTGTGTTGATAGTAATTGCCAATCTCAGCGGTAGAAACAAAGGAGCTAGCACACAAGAAACGCCCATTGAGAGAACCAACATTATTCATGAAGAACATCTGAGCTTCACACACATCTTCAATATGCATTATTGGAACTTTTCCAATAAGTTCCTCCAAAAACTTGAGTGAATTGTAGAGAATCTCCTCTTGAGTTAACATTGACAAGAACATAGCACCACTTGTTGGGATATAAGGTAAGTAAGTGTTTCCACCTACAAGACCACAACATAATGTCACCACCTCCAAACCTGAATTATCACTTTTTTGCGAGTTTCACACCCTAACTACCTGGATTATCAGCTTTGTATTGAAGTTGACTAGGACTATAGTTATCATTTGATCTTTCTATCTAAACTATCACCATCTACTCAACTAGGTATGTGTTGATACATATATAGATGATGATAGTTCAAGTAAAAAAAAAGAAAATAATTGATAGTTAAGATGTAAAACCGTGAAAAAAAATTATAATTCAGATAGATTTTTACCATTAACTCATATATTTTATTAGTATTAAAATGGATTAAAAGGCAAGTCATGTAATATATTCACTTATAAAAAAACAAAATGAAAAAATGGAATTAAAAGAGAAACATCAAGAAATTGGAGATTCATTGTATATTTCTTAGCATGACACAATGATGTATAAAAGCTTTAATAATTCATCATATTTATAGGAGCATAAATGAAATATTCCCACTTTTTCAATTTATTTGGCCTATTTTGAATTTGATACAAAATTTAAAAAATACAGAAGATATTTGAATTTTGTAATGTTAAACTAAACATATGATTACTTTTTTTTATCTTATGATTATGTGCACCGTTGAAATTAAAGATAGTTAAAAAGAGAAAGAATCATTTTTAAAAAAAATTAAACAAATTGAAACGAACAAAGTAGACTCACCCAAAGCCATTGTTTAGTGTAAGGATTTGAGAAATTAAGAGGTGTCCAACATGTTTCATCTATTAATTCTTTGTAAGTAATTGCATCTTCCTTCAATGGTGAGGCAGCTACAATAGAGGCAGTATAAATAAGTCTCTTCACTGTCCCACTTTTAAGGCAAATCATTCCAATTTTCTTCACTCCATCAACTGTTGCCTCTGTTCTATCTTTGTACTGTTTCATATATTAAGATCAAGATTACAAATAAAAGAAACAAAAATTAAAAAAAAATTAAGAATAATTTATTAATTTTCTAATCTATATATGCATCAACAATAATATATGATTCAAAAAGATCAGGAAGAATATTCTTCTTTAACTATGTAGAATTACACAATTAATATTGTGTATGATATGACTTCATATTGTGCAAGAAATAGTGGTAAAATCATGTTTGTAGTTATAGATCTTTGCATATAAGTAACCTCTAGTTTATAAATAAAAAATAAAAAATATAGCTTACTTTTTATCAACTCTTTAATTTCTTGATTTATCAATATTATGATAATATCATAGCTTATAAAATATTTAAAAGACATATAAAGAAACTTTAGTTATAAACTTCGAAATTTCAATTATGACACATAAACTAAAATGAAGAGAGTGCATATCATAATAAATCAATTTGATGATTAAAAGAATAACTTATAATGTCCATCCACAATACTGATGGATTCAGAATTTCAAACAAGGTATTGGAAAAATAAGAATATAATATTTAATTTCATGTTTAAGAGATTCAATATCAAAATATATACGGTAAAATTACAAAGAATACATTAATATATTATAATGTAATTTTTGCAAGTAAATTCAAATGAACACCCTTGCCCCCGGAGGACAATCCCATACCTGAGATCCTTGAGAATGCAACAAAGGGGTGGCAACATGAAAAACAAATTCACAGCCTTGAATAGCCTCCTCAAATTCCTCTGCTTTATAAATGTCAGCTTTAAATAACTTTAATCTTTTATCTGCCCCACTTAAGCTCTTCAATAACCCCACCTTTGACTCATCTTCTGCACTTAAATCAATTTAACTAATCATTTTTTAAAATAGATGGACTAGGAGTTATGTTGTTCGAATTCTTCAAAAATTTCGTCTGGTGTACCTCAAATCATTCAAAAATAGAGGATAAAAAACAAGGATAGCCATTACTAAAATAGAGATTTTTAACCATCGAAAAATGCAAACTAATGAATAAATTGTGTTATAAAACATGATTTTCTTATTAATTTTTCATCAAATCAGCTTATTAGAAAAACACATGATGGAAACAGATTCTCAATGAAATATTACTAGAAAATTTCTAGTTTTATGTGTGAAGACAGGACTATTTTTTTCTTTTCTCATTGATTCAATTAAAAATTTATGAAATACCCAATGAACATTTTTTTTAATAGAAAATTTTAATTAAAAAAATATGACAATCCGAGCAACATAACTTAGTAATAAGAGAAATTTAAAACATACCCAAGTTTCTTAGGGTAGCATGAACAATGTAACCTTTATCCAAAAGCTTTTGTACAAGAGAAGAACCTATGTACCCTGCACCTCCTGTAACACAAACCTTGCAAGTGCTTTTCTCCTCCATTTCTATATTTGTTGATATGAATTATGAGCTAAGTGATTGATAAATGGAGCTTGTTGATAATTATAATACTAAAGTCCATGTGTATTTTTTTTGTCCAATCATACTATTATAGGTAAAAGTCTATTTTGGTGTATCAATGCAACCTAACATGTTAGTTGAAATTATCCTCATTATATTGCATGTATTAAGATCCCATTATTATACCAAGTACTAATATACTACAATAAATATAATTTTTAGCAGCAATAATTATACACATTAATAAAAAGTGTTAAAGTCTTTAGTGGCATTAATTAAGTGTCGTAAATTCAAAGTCGCTAAATTTAGGGACATATACAAAAAATACTAATTGTTACTAAAGATACATATTTAGCGGTAATTGCTAATTAATTACCGCTAAAGCTCATTTTTGATGTAGTGATAATTGAGTTTTCGATTCAAATTCAAGATATTGAAGTTAGTAAATATTAAAATGCATTATATGTTGTGATGTTTTCCTCCCTTCACTTAGGATTAAAAAATTTGTCTTTTAAATATGTAGAAATCTCACGTATATGTTGAGAAATCAAGGATTGTATTGATAATTGAATGATTGAGTTATATACTCCTTATATAGGAGAAGAGTCGTATACTAGCTACACTAGAAATCCTAATACAACACAAATATAGTATTTACACCTTATTCTAGTCGACGACATCAGCTTTAGTCATACAAAACATAGACTTGTACATAAATTAGGATTAAGTAGTCTACTCCTAGTCTAACTCGAACTCTAACTTGTCAGGAAGCTTCACCGAACCTTTTCTTTTGACATGTTCCATCAGCTTCTTTCAATATTTCCCCTCAAGTTAGTAAGTGGAGGGACTATAACTCCTAGCTTGCGACGAAACTCAACAAAAACCTGTTTGGTTAATGCTTTTGTATGAATATCTGTTAGTTGATCCTTAGACCTCATAAACTAAGTAACAAGTTGTCCTCTGGCCACCTTCTCACTAATAGAATGATAGTCCATTTCAACATGTCTAGTTCTAGCATGCATAACTTTATTAATTGTCATGTACAAACCACTCATGTTGTCGCAATATAATGTAGGTACATATTAAGGTCATGAAGTAGATACATGATCCATGTTATCTCTTATACAGTGGAGGCAAGTGTTCTATACTCAGCTTCAACACTTGAACAAGCAATTCTGGATTATTTCTTGGGGGTCCAAGAAATACAGTTTGCACCTAGGTAGATGTTATAGCATGTAATTGATCTCCTAGTAGTGGTAAAACCTCCCCATCTTAGTATCCATACAACCTACATGGTGATTATTAAATAAGTCTAAGTCCAAAGTGCAGAGTGTATTTGATGTACTTGAGAATCATTTTCACCCCTTGAAGATGTCCACTATTCGGATTTTGCATAAATTGGCTAGCTAAATTCACAACACGAGTATTATTCGATCTTGTGAGAGTCAATTAATGAAGTCTCATTAATACCATTCTGTAGAAAGATGCTTCAACTAGGCTTCCCACAGCTTTATATAGACCATGCTTTTGAGCCAAATGAGTGGTTACAGCCTTTGCAAAGGTCATTTTAGCCTTGTCTAGCAACTCATCAGCATACTTACTCTAGCTTAAGTGGATGCCCCATCAAAATACTTAACCTCAACTCCAAGAAAAAAATATAAAGGGCCAAGATCTTTCACGGAAAATTCTTTCCCAAGTTGTCGAACCAATTTTGAGACATGCGATGTATTGCTGCCTGTGATAATAATATCATCCACATATAACAAGAGAAATATGATGCCTTCGTGAGCTTGCAATATAAATGATGAAGAATCTGTCTTACTACAGATAAAGTCAAGGTGTAGGAGATACATGCTAAACCTATCAAACTCGGCTCTTGGTGATTGTTTAAGACCATACAACGTCTTTTTAAGTAGACACACATGTTGAGGATATTTGGGATCTAGAAATCCAGGAGATTGACTCATGTACACCTCCTCTTGTAAGAACCCACGAAGAAAAGCATTTTTGACATCGAGTTGTCTAACTTCGCACCTTGAGCTGATGACAATTGATAGAATACCCTAATAGTTGTCGCTTTAACCACAGGGCTAAAGGTTTCTTCAAAGTCTATGCCTTCAAGCTGAGAATCCCTTGGCCACAAGTATAGCCTTGTATCTATTTATTATTTCATCAACTTTTAATTTGGTCCTGAACACCTAATTTGAGCCAACTAAATTTTATGCCATGAGATTTGGGCACCAACATCCATGTCTTGTTAGTGTATAAAACATTGATCCTCTTGCATTGTTGCAAGCAAATGAGGTGACTTAAGTGTTTTCTTAATAGTATTTGGTTCCCTCAGAATGTCTTTGTTTTTGTGAGCAACAAGTGATAAGTGATGTTCTTTTGACTTGTATCTAGTGATCATATGATGTCCTTGCGGTGCATGAAGTACCTCAACTGGTACATCAACCAAAGTAGTTGACTGGAGTGTAGCATTGTCAAGATTGATGGTCCACAAGTACATCAACGAAAGTAGTTGTTGGATGATGCTCATTGATTGAACCTGTAAGTGCAACCTGTTCGTCACTGCCACTAGCAGATCCAAAATCTCAGCAGGAGTTTCAAAATTAATATATGGAGCATCACATTCAACATGTTCCTCAATATCTGATCCTGCGCTTGAGCGGTCAATAGTACTTTCATCATCAACAAATATAAGAGTAGGAGTAGAATTATCACCATTAATGTGTGTACTAGCAGCCTGTAATTTCCCTAGATCAGAATTATCATGTGCCTGCAATTTAGAGAATGATTCAACAAAAGTAGCAAGGTGAGGTGAGACATCAATGTTAGTTTGAGATTGATTTAGAAACACATAGGGTAATGTGTTTTCATCAAACACAACATGTTTGGATATGTAAACCCTCCTTGTAGATGGATGGTAGCATCTATATTTTTTGTGTAAGCTTCTATACCCTATGAACGCATAAGGGTAAGTCTTTGGACTGAACTTGTTGCTACCCTTGATATATGGAAAACATCTACACCCTAACACTTTTAAACTATTGTAATTAGGTTGTTTCCCATACAATTTAACAAATGGAGTCATCATCTTTAGGACTGAGGAAGGTAGTGAATTAATAAGGAATATTGCAGTGATGAAAGTCTTTACCCATAGAAACAAAGGTTAGCATGAAAAAGTAGAGTTAAGTCAGTCTCTACAATATGCCTATGTTTTCTTTTGGCAACTCTATTTAGTTGAGGCGTGTTAGGACATGAAATATGTCTCACAATGCCACAGTCTTCCAAATGTTTGATGAAGTCTGTTTGGATAAACTCACCACCTTCATCATATTGAAAAATCTTAATTTTTTTAGAGAATTATTTTTCCACCATTTTCTGAAATTTTACAAGGACCTCAAAGCATTAAAATTTCTTTTTCAGTGGATAAATCCATGTATATCTCGTGTAATCATCAATAAAAATGATATAATGTTTCATATGTTGTGAAGATTTGACAGGAGCAGGTCCTCATAAGTCATAATGGATTTTCAATAAAGGTTTTTTATCAATTTTTTCTCAAACCAAATGAAAGTTTACAATTCTTTCCCAACTGATAACTAGAACAAATAATAGGCATTTTATTCCAACTACTAATATTGATGCAACTATTAGTATTCAAAAACATTAAAGACTTCAAACTAGGATGTCCTAATCTAGTATATCACATGTTGTTTGACGTGTTCCAATCGTGTGCAGCAGTTAAAGCATAGAGATTTTTATCTTCCAAAGCATAGAGTCCATTCATTTTAGTTCCCTTGGCCAGCAGTTTCCTTGTTTTCTTGTCCTTAACAACAAGTTAGATTCATCAAATTCAAGAGTGCAACAATCATCCTTTGCAAGCTTACTAGCAAAGAGTAAATTCTTATTAATCTCAGGGACTACAAGAACTTCCTTTAATTTTAGACATGATTTGAATGTGTTCCCAACATGTGTTATGTATAACTTCGGTCCATTCCCAATAATAATTTTATATGTTCCATTGTAATGTTTAAGATCAGTTAGGATACATGAGTTATGTGTCATATGGCTACTTGCCCCTGAGTCCACATACAAGGTGTCATCAGCGTTTTGAAGATTAGTAGCAGTCAATGCTTGTGATAGCTCATTTGTGGCTTGGTAAGAGTAATTCCACCTGTAAAAACACTTAAGAGTAGTATGATTATTCCTACCACAAATTTGACACACATACGAATTATTCATTTCATTACTTCCACTTGAAGGACTATTCTGAGGACCTGATCTGTTTCTGCTGTTATAAGAACATGTTCCCTGTCCAGCAGGCTTAAAACTTCTTCCTCTGGAATTAAAGTTATTGTTTCCTCTTCTTTGAGAGCAGTTTCCTTTTCCCCTACCTCTTTGGGAAAAAATCTCATGTTATGATTTTGTTGAGGCACTTCTTCTTTATCCTTCTTCATATCAAAACCCCTAAGAGCATTAAGGAATTGATTAAGAGTAAGATACGGTGTCTTACCTAACATGAAGATCCTGAAGATCTTGTACTTAAGGTCTAGACATCTAGCAAAATTAATCACTTTGCTATCTTCATCTACAGGCTTGTGATTGGCTGCAAGGACATCACGTATGCCTTTGAATTCCTTAATGTATTCGTCGATTGTTTTGGTTGCTTGCTTTACACTTTTCAGTTGTTGCTTGAGCTGGAACTCCTTATCTTTTGTTACTTGAAGATATGCTTCTTCCAAGCATTCCCACATCTCCTTAGCAGTCGATCAACCTACGATAAGTTACATGTTTTCTTCTGTCAAAGTGCTCGATATCCAACTCCTTAGTAACACATCCTTCTCCTTCCATTCATCAACAATGTTTGTCTTCTGCATCCTTCTCGCCTGCTACAGTTTTCTCAGTAGTCTAACCAGTGGAACAGGTCTATTTACGTGGTTTTGTGATGAGATAGGTTAATCTCATCACTTGAATCAACTTACTCATTTGTGTCCACCATATAATATAATTATTTCGCTTAAGTTTAATAAAGCAGAACGAAATAAGATGATGAAGTGAAGAGGTTGAAAGAGTGTTGGTAGAAGGGGTTATTGCGGTTCAATAATTTGGTTTTTTTTTTGATCTAATACGTTAAAGAGCGGAAAAACTTTATTGCTCTGATACTATGTAGTAATCTCACGTATATGTGGAGAAATCAAGGATTGTATTTATAATTGAATAGTTGAGTTACATACTTTATATATAGGAGAAGAGTGTTATACTAGCTACAATAGAAATCCTAATACAACACAAATATATTATTTATATCTTATCCTAATCAAGTACATCAGCTTTAGTCGTACAAAATATAGAGTTTTACATAAATTAGAATTTAGTAGTCTAATCCTAGTGTAACTCGAACTCTAACTCGTCAGGCAGCTTCACCGAACTTGTTCCTTTGACATGTTCCATTAGCTTTCTTCAATAAAATATTCATACGATAAGTCCTTGAGAGCGAGTCAAGTAAGAGCAAAGAAAAGTTTAATGGTGGGTTGCATGTATGTTAGCACACGCAGATTTAAAGGGTCGCTAGCGATAGATGAGCAAAAAAATGCACGATATATAAAAAAATATCTTTTAAATTTTTATGTATATAGTTTTTGAATCTCTTGAACAAAAAATAAGGAGTTGATTTGGCTGGTGAGGGAGTACATGATTCACCTTGAGATTTCAAAGTTGAAATCTCACATGATGGTGTGCTGACTCATGTCATAATCATAACTTCTATCGTAGATTGTACCTCACTTAATATTTCACTACTCCCTAATTTACTTTATGAATGAATTTATATACATATATAGAGTTGTTTCTTAGTTTCATCATGAATTAGAGATAAGAAATTTACTCAAATCCTCTTTTAGAAATCGCCTCCAAGGATTTCTCATAACTCAAAGAAAATGGAGAAGAACCCAAGAATTTGGAAATAAACACTGCCAGGGGCCACCATGAACACGGACCCTCGGCTCATTAACTCTCCGCGAACGCGGAGTTCTCACATCTAACCCTCTATGAACATGGGAGCTCCTCCACGAACGCAGAGTTCAGGCCTCCTACCCTGCCAACACGGTCCAAACCCCGCAAACCAAATATGCTACCAAAAAAATCGAAGTTTTGAACTCAATGTAACCATTGAATCACGAATATGAGGTCTCTTTGACCCTAAACATGTATAAATCACAAAGAACTAATATAACTTCTAAAAGGTCAAACTAAGCTTCGAGACCTCTGAAAAATTCAACTAAGACATAACCTAAGCCTAAAGTCATCCCCTGTATTCACGGGAACTGTCAGAAATCCATTCAAACATCGGAACCCTGAATGTTGACCAAAATCAATACAAAGAGTAAAATTTTTAACAATATCCAACTTAAGACCTCAATTCCACAAAAAGACACTAAAGTTGAATCCAACCACTCTCTTATATAAAATTCCATAATTTAGGCTGTTGGAAATCAACTAAATTTGATTTCGAGACTCGAAATTTCAAAAGACATTGAAATCCACATTTTAATAACTTTTACCTTTTAGAACTCTAAAATTTCCACAATTCACATTTTTTTTACTCAAAACTTGAAACCAATGTCACAAACAATTCATAAATGACTCGGAGCAACAATTGGGAGGGATAAAATAGTGATTTTACAAAAAAAAATTCAAAAAATTACATTCTAGGTCATTACAGAAACTCCTCCAATTATAGCCAACAAAGGATAGTATATACATGCATCTGTCTATTCTGCCTATAAAAAAAATCACAACTCTTTTAAAAAGTCACAACCTTCCGAATCAATATGAAAATATGTTACTGAAAAAATTACATATTTTCTCTTAGTGATTTTTTTTATTAAAAAAAAACTTCATTCCTCACACTTTTCAAAATTCCAACACTTTTTGGCATATGGTAATTCATTGATTATTTCTTTAGGAAAAAAGTAGTTTTATCGGAATATAATGTTTGGTTAATTCCTTTGATATTAATCTTGACCAAGTCTAAGCAAACATAGCCATAGCCGCCACCTGTATGATTATTGTTTATTAGTGGATTCTATTGAAGAATCAAGACAATATCTATGAACTTTATCAATAATTAACAATATAGTAATAATAATACTGTAATAAAGATTATCAACGAATTTTGTTATTTAAATATAAATTTATTAATATAATATAAGATGATTAATTTCCACATCAAAGAGCCAAGTTATGAGACGTGGCGTGGTGCTCGTATTCGATATTATTTACCTCAAATAATTGAAATATATCATATTTTATTGATTAAATAAAATAAAAATATATTATAATAAAATAATTGGGGATAATGCCCAAGTACCCCTCAACCTATGCCCGAAATCTCAGAGAAACACTTATACTATACTAAGGTCCTATTATCCACGTGGCACTATCTTGTGGGCCCAACGATGGTTGACTTTTTTTTCGAACTAGTGCCACGTAGGCTAAAAAGGGATAGAAAATTACATATAAAATAAGTTCAGAGGGGTAATAGGACTTTAGTATAGTATAAGTGTGTCTCTGGGATTTCGGGCATAGGTTGAAGGGGTACTTGGATATTTTCCCAAATAATTGTTATTATTATTGTCCAAACATATGTTACACATTAAGAATTAAATAAAAATATTTGATGCATATAAATTTTATCATTATGAGCTACGTGAATTTCGTTTAAAACTAATAACGTGCTGATATATTTCAATCCAACAATTAGAGACCAAAAAAAATTGTCCATACAAGGAATCCATTAAATATATGATTAAATTAATAAAATGATTCATATAGTATGAGAATAAGATACTTTTATTTTTTATTCTCAAGGTTGACTTCTATCTTATGCTGATAAAATTTGTTGTCTACTTTAATTTAAGATCTCAACTTGATAAAAATTGAATTTTAAAATATTCATTATTGAACTCTTCAAACTTTTTTAAAATTATAATTTATAAAAATATATAATTAGTGTAAAAATACTTAATTTTTAAGAGAAAATTTGTGCCAAGTGCCAAATATATTAAGGTCCTATTGATTGTTTTTTATACCCTTTGATAGATGTTGCTTTTAAATAGACTATGCTATTTCTTTTTAAGAGTCTGTTTGGATTGATTTTTAGCAATTGACGGGATGATATTTGTTTACTTTCCCTCAAAGGTTTTCGGCACTATTTTTTGAAGTTTATTACAAAAATATATGATACCAAAATAGCGAAATATGAAGCAAATGAAACAATTAACAGATCGAGAACTACATGATTAATACCTATAATTTATAAAGCATGAATTTTAGTGTTATATATAAGACTAGGGAACTAGGTGATTACTAAATAATTATTAGGATAGAATCCACACACACTTGATAACTGAAAAACACAAAAAATTTCAAGAGAAAGAGATTAGAGATCTAGAGAGAGAAAGAGAGAAACCAATATTTCGTGGTAACACCCCGTGAGTAAACTTCCACGGCAGTGGGTATATATATTAATAATTCAAAGTATTTTTGGTTACAGAGAATAAATAGAGAACAAATATTGCAGCCTAAAATTTGGGTCAGGAAGCTGCCCCGAGCCCCTCCTTCGGATGGGGGGCTCCCGCACCCCATAACTCCCTGACAACCTCACCGCGAAAGTTAAACCACGTGAACATTAATATATGACAGTACATCAAATATTAATCAGGCTCCACAACCTAACACATAATATTATAATTTAATTGTGAATTGCTTGTGTTCAAGATCTCTAAAAAAAAAAATTCTCCATCACGTGTTGTTATCTCATGAAGAAAAGCAAATAGTAGAAAACAATAATTCAGGCAAGAATAATATCTACCAATAAGTAGGTTAAAACAAGATAATTAATAATAGGGTGAGGATGCATGAGATGCTTAATTTTATTCTTAATTATATTCACTATGGTTGAAAAAATCATCTCTACTCTCCTTTAGGCCATATATATATATTCTTTGTTTTAATTTATATATTATACTCTCTCTTTTTTTTAATTTGTATTATAGAAAAAGAATAATATTATACATTAATTTTTATTTTAAAATAATTTACTTTTAACTTCAAGATTTACTGAGATAAATTATAATTATATATGTCTCAATACTACATTTTAAAACCACAAGGTCTTCATCTTTTAAATTTTGTGATTATTAGACACCGTCGCATAAAATTAGGATAATAAAGTACTTCGTTTTTAATTTATTTGACTTTTTTTTTCACTATATTTCAAAAAGAGTGACTCATTCTCTTCTTTTTAATTTTAATTTTGATAAAATCATAAAATTAAAAAGTACTGTGATACATTCTACGTATGTTTAATTTAAAATTATAAGATTCATAAATTTTCTGTGTTTTCTCAAACATTGTGTTAGATTATAATAGGTGAAACAAATTAAAATGAAAAAGTATAAAACTTTTCCACTCATGTCAAGTGCCATGGTTCCCTTTTTAACACCCCTTTAGATTGATCTAATTGCTTTGTTGCCTATAAATAAGCTATTCTATTCCACTTCTAAAAACATATAAAAAGCTCATTATTATAAGAAGATATTCAAGCTAGGCATTGCTTGTTGTCTCTCCCTCAAGGGCTCCTCTTCAAGATCCTTATAAACAAGAAAGCATGAGGGGGAGGAGTTCTTGTAGGGTGAGACAACAAGAAATTCCTTGCTCACTTCACATGGCAAACATACTTATATTTTATTTATTAATTATATTTACGACACGTTTCTTCATGTGTGGAATTTTATGGCTGTGGTGAGATTTAGAATTACTATTTATTTTGATAGTATGTTGAATCGTATGATTATGTTATCTAAAAATTTAAGCTTATTATTTTTAAAAAGGCAATTACATTTATTTTATAGGATTATTTTAGAGAAATTGGACTGATATTTTACATAATTTGTTCCTTTAGATAATTGTTATAAATTAGGCTAAAAAGATGATATGTAAAATTTATAAGCTCATATTTTTACATAATTTGTCCAAAAATATTTTTTTTAAGAAACTTTTATTTATATATATATATATATATATATATATATATATATATATATATATAAAGAAAAAACAATTATCACTTACGAGAATAACATTTTTTTCATTGAACATCTATAAGACATTTATAGTAAGGGCAAAAGACATAAATTACATACTTTTAAGACAAAATTATTACTTGTCTTTTACAAGTTTATAATTATAAAAATCCCTCAAACTGATACAATAATATAAGCGTTGATACATTAATCTGATGCGCGAGATACATTAATCGTTAAGTAAGATACATGACATTTTATACATGATACACTAATCTGATGTACATTTTTACACGATACACTAATCTGATGCGCGAGATACATTAATTTGATGCACTGATACATTGATGCTTGAAAATGAGAAATTTTGGGAATTTGTAAAACTAATAAGGGATAATGATAATAAAAGAACTTAAATGTGTGATTTCTGTCATTTATGGTTATAATATATTTTAACACATATAGAACAATTTACATAATATAAATTTTATTCATGAGTAATATATTTGTCACACACTTGAATATACTTATATATAATTTTTTTTTTTTATCAATTTCTTACCAAACAAACTTAATATATTTTTAAATACTTATTAAAAATTAGTCAATTTTATTGGTTCATCTTGTTCAAGCAAGCCCATAGCCGCTATTGTAGCCCATTTCATAACCCAATCTCCGTTTATTTCCCCTTACTACTGCAACCCTAAATCCCTTTTGAAATTGATTTGGGGCAAATCGTTATTTTGGAGGATATAAATGATACATAAAACTGATTTTAGTTTAACGATAAGGACATAATCAATCAATAATACACATACTTATAAATAATCCATACACTAATTAATAGTGTATATTTCAATTATATTGATAAACTAGTTGACATATCAATATATATTTCATAATTACTCTGATAATTATGAAAATTTTGTACCAATTAATTTACTTTGACCTCTATATCAAAAATAGATATTTTTATTTATTTTAATAAACTTTTAAAAAAATTATTATTATTATTTTATGTAGTTGCTTAACACTTTAAAATAACATGAAGTTAAAAGATGCATTAATATTATTTTTTCACTTAGAGGTAGAACTAAAAAAAAAATAGCTTTAGAAGATGCAAAAATGAAATAAAAAATGAATTTTTGCATAGAAAAAGATGCATTAAAGAAAGGACCAAAACTTGTCACGGTCCTTATTTTCCAATCAAAATGAACTGTTTGTTTTGAAAAAAAAGAATTTTTTCAATTAAAGTGACATGTCGAAAAGAGATTATTTTATTTCAGACTCGTCACTTGAAATTGAGTTATGGTGTTCTAAGTCACCTTATTTACATCCCTAATCAAAAGGAAGTTGACTCGTTATTTTTTATGGTCTTTGAAATCAAAAATCGGTTAAGAAATTTTGTTGACCAAAGGGAAGGCATTAGGCACCACTCAATCCCGTGGTTCTAGCACGGTCGCTTTATTGACTTTTACATGACTTGACTTAATTTTAAATATATTATGTTTATTACCTAACAATTTACTTATGTCCCGCTTTCTTTGATTTATTTTAAATTACTTTGTAAAATTGTCATATTTTATTAGTGTGTGGTTTATTGGTAGCAGCTCTTTCCAACCTCACCACAAATTATTTATTTTGTTTGTATTTAAACACTTAAAGTAATTTAATGTTTTTTGGATCATAATATTTTATTAATATTATCATTATCAAAAGCCTAAATTATACATTATCTTAATTTTATTTTTCTATAAAAAATGAACAATATATTAATAAGAACATAAGATAAAAAAAAATTAAATAATACACTTTTTCATATAAATTTTTTACTTTTTCTTATTTTAGTCATTAAAATGAAATTAACCCAGTAATTAAAATCAATTTTATTTATTTATTTATTTTACAAGTTTTGGGTCACTTTAATATTGTTTTTCTATTTTTTTTTAAATTTTGTTTCTCTTTCTTCTTATACTTTGCCCTATTTTTCTTTTAATTCTCTTTCTTATTTTTTTTACTTTTATGTTTTATGATAAAAAAAAATTACGTCTTTTTCTTTTATATAAATTTTTATTTTTTATTCTTTCAACATGAATAAATTAATTCATTTTCTTAAAAAAAAGTTTCGCATTAAAAGAAATGTAAAGATAGTGTAGGTATGATTTATTTTTAAAAATAAATAAATACAGTTTTATTAAATATACAAAGTGAAAAAGTAAGTTAACAAATAATAACTAAATTTCATCTAACTATTACTAACTGCATACTGTTGAATATTAAGCTTCGAATTTTAATGAAGAACAAGATAAAAGGAAACTTTAAAGCAAGCAAGAATGAATACATGTTATATAAATTTTACTCTAAATTTAATAATATAAAATCTCAATCTATTTCATATCATAATGTAAAAATAAAACATGCATAAATTTAAAACATTTTATATCATTGAAACCATATCTTGCATGATTCTGAAACCAAATAATGTAATAAAGATCAAGTGTTAACTTTTGTGAAAATTAATTCACAAAGAAAATACCTCGATAAGGACCACGAATTTGAAGCCCCAAATTCCACTATTTTTTGATTTGTTTTTTTTGTGCGTGTGTTCCTTAGGAAAAAAAAGTGAAAAGTTTTCTTTTTTTTTCTCTCTCTCTTTTACTGATTTTTTTCCTTTGAATATCTGAAATTTTTCTTCTCTTTCCTTTGTACCCCTTTTTCCTCTTTTTTTTTTCCTTCCCATTATTAATTTATATATAGTTATGTATATGTATGTATGGAAGAGTTGGATTAGTGGAGTTGGGTGTGGGGTGAGTGGAGAGAAATAGTGAAGTGGGGGTGTTATAATGAGTAGGTTAATTTCTTTTAATTATTATTTTTTGTTATAAAATAATAATAATAATAATTAAGAAAAATTAAATAGCTAGATTAAAAAAATTTATAAAAATTAAAATCACTAATTTATTAAAACTTTGAATGAATAACTAAAAATATACCTTAAAGTGTGATTTATTTTTTTGTGATTTTCATAACTTTTAAAAATAAACTTAATAAAATAAGATAAAAGTCAAAATATTTATAAAAAATATTTAAGCTCTAAAAAGGATATAAAACTTAAATTCGATCAAAAATTACGTGTCTACACAACTATTGTTCGTTATACTTCAAACATCATAAAATTTTTCCTTATCGATAAACTCAAATACAACCCACGTACTAGCTCTTGATCTACTGTTAAGTTTAACTCTTTGCTGACTTGGACTTTATTCATTTTAATTAAATAAAATCTAAGATGTCTAATTATATTAAAATGATATACTTAGATTGAATATTAGATTAATTATTTATTTTTTAACATCTAGAACCTGGATGTGTGTAATTTATTCTTATTTAAGAATTAGTAAATTTAATTTTAAATAATATTAATTAAAATATACAATAATAATAATAAAAAAATTGGAAAACTTTCAAAAAATGACTATACTTTGGGCTTAATTAGATATTTATAACTGTAGTTTGTTTAATTACGAATTACAGTTATATGTTAGGGGGAGGAGAGAGGCAAGCGAGACTCGGAGAGATAGGAGAGAAGTGAGCGAGATCTAGGAGAGAGAGGAGATAGGTGAGAGAAGTTGAATACATATATGGTATTCATTGTATCAGGTAGTATCACAAACACATTTATACAACTAATTTGTTCAAAATGAATATAGTTGTATTCATTGTAGAAGGAGAGAGGCAGACGAGAATGATAGAGGGAGGAGAACGAGATTGAGAAGAAAGGAGAGAGACGAGCAAGATCGAGAGAGGTGAGCGAGATTGAGAGAAGAAGGAGAGAAGATAAATACATGTTATATTTATTTCATCACAAATACAATTTTATGAAATAAATAATACAAATATAATTGTCTGAATACCGTTGATTTGTATCATATATCGAATATAATTGTATCAATTGTATTAATGAACACAATTTGTATCGATAAATACAATTAGAAGAATACAAATTATCATAATATAATTGATACTCAATACAAAATATTTAATACATAATACATAATACATATACAATTGATATTGAAATGCAAATATATTTGATACAAAATACAATCTTCGTATTTATGTGGTTGGTACAGGTGTCTAGCGACAGAGATGATTATCACTAGTGATTGATAGTAATGTGGAGGTTTTAGTCCATAGTTGCAGCTGGTTGATGGTCGTAAAAATAGTTAGCTATTGATTGTTTATCTATTGGTGATTCATAGGGGTATAATTAGTAAGTCGATAGGGGAGATTATTTGGTTTGACGTGAGATATAAAGTATAATAATTTTCCAATTTAATGCAAGTCTATTTTGTTGTACTTTTATCTTGAGGTATTAGATAGTCTTCATATTATTCATCTTATTATATATACCTTAATGATAAGATAAGTTATCTCATTTACATAATGAAATAACTTAACCTTAAATAATTAAATAAATAATCGTGCTCAAACAATTAAATCTAAATAATTTAGATTAAAATCTTTTTTCTTGAAATCCCAAGATAACCCGCAAACGTTACAATTTCTGCCACAGTCTCTGTCCTTTAGGTGAACACTTTGTGCGATTGAGTAAACCCTGACTATGTAATAACTTACAAACCACACAGGAGATGTAAATCGCACTAGGCAAGTGCGACAGACTCGACTCTAAAGACATAGAGAGGAAATTAATTCTAGATTATCTGTATGATTAACTACCCTCCAAACTAACTGAATCATCGAGAAAGACAAATTAATAAAATCATTATTAAGCGAAAACCAATAAAATCTCAGTAACAATTTTTAAAATATAGTACTAAATTAAGCTTCGACAACAAACACATAAAAATAAACATAAACAGTAAACTGTCACTTCTAAAGAAAAAAAAAAGATCAACTATGTAAAAACAAGAAACACATGTTATTAATGAATGTTGTACCAATATTTTACAGTACATTATTTTATTGTTCTACAAACATTTATGTCATTATCAATTTTTTAAAAAATAAACTTAAAATTCCTTTATAGTTAAGCTAAGTTAAGGCCCAAGCTTTAGGTTAGGGCACAAAACTTAACAAACAATACCTGCTGATTTGGTGGCCCAAAAGTGTAGATGCAACTTTCCAAATTTTATTCATATTAAATAAATGGAAATTAATTGAATATAACATAACACTAAAAATAGTATATAAATAATTGTAGTAATTATTTGAAAATTTAAATACTGTCTCAATTATAATTTTATCCGACTAGATTCGGATCGTAAGAGTCAAATTAAATTAATATTTTGAGTGAATTTAAATATAATTATTTTTTATAAATAAATTTTATCTATTCAAAAATTATACTATAATTATAATTAAAAAAATATATTTTAATTAGATTGTAATCGAGAGAGTAATACACACTACTATAAAAGAAAGTTCAAGTTACAAGCAAAGAAAAAGATACGAGTTGATACAATAAAATAAAAATAAATTGAGGGGAGTAAGTAGATTGCATTATTTTTTTTGGAAAATTAATTAGATTAGATCATCATAGAACAAATATTCACATCCCCATTTTTTCAATTTAGTTGGAGATTGAAAAATCTGAAAAAAAAAACACAAAAATAGAAAAAAAAAAGATCAATAAAAAGCAAAAAAAAAACATATCTTCCTTCTCCTATTATTTTTGCAGAACAACATATACATAAACACAAAAAAAATCCCCTGCATCTTCAAATACGTCAATGGCAATTCCTCAATATTTCTTTGGATTCTGATTTTTTCACACACAGACACACACTCAAACTTCAATCTCTGTTACCCATTTTCAGGAATTAACACTTCCCATATCTAGTTTTTTTTTTTTCTGGATTTTCAAGATCCTGGAAATCTTGTAGAAATGAAACTTTCCATGTTTATTACATAGAAAGAAGAAGAGGCTTATGGGTTTTTTTGTTTTGGTTTTTTAGGTTTATTTTTGAATAAAGAACAAGTTTTTTATTTGGGGTTTCTTTATCTAATCTATCTCCATTTGAATCGCTTGATCAAGAAGTGTTATAGCAGCTTTATTTTTTTTCTTACCCTTTTAGGGTTTCTGTTTACCCCTTTTTCATTTTCAATTATTTGGGGGTCGAAAAATGTTCTTTTTTTTGTTTTAGATGAAGTATTAGATTCTGTTGGTATTCAAGTTTACTTGTTTTGGATATCCTGGTTAGTGGAGTTATTAATTTAGCAGAAAGGTTGGTAGATAGATATTGGATTTGAAAAGAAGGTGAAATTTTTAAGTTCTTTTAGTGGGTTAAACCAAGTAGTGGTGTATGGGAGAACATGAGGGATGGGCAGAGCCAAGTGGGCTATTGCCGAACGGGCTATTGCCCAATGCAGAACCAATGATCCGAGTCCTTGACTCGGAAAGATGGTCGAGGGCTGAGGAAAGGACTGATGAGTTAATTGTCTGTATTCAGCCTAATCGGCCATCGGAGGAGCGGAGAAATGCTGTTGCTGATTATGTCCAGCGGCTCATTATGAAATGCTTCCCTTGTCAGGTTATCTTGAAATTTTGTATTGGTGGTTGTGTTGTTGTATTCTTGATAACAATAGCTTTATAGAAGTTTCATATGCAATATTTGGCTGATCATTGTGATATGACCTAGATTTCTCAAGAAATGTAAAAAATTGAATTCTCAATGACTTTTGTGCTTCAGTATACATTTGTTTAGACTATGCCAAGATAAAACTATTTTAACTTTTGTAATGACTTAATATCTTGTTCAAATTATAAGTGCGGATTGGTCTGCTTTGCTTAGCAAAATATGCTGTCTGAAACTGGTAAAGTAAATAAGAATTATGTTAAGTGTTAACTGGGAGAGTAAATACAGGATTTCAGCAGATTCGGGGATGTTTCATTTTTTTTTTCATTTATCTGAAGAGTTAAGGAAGTTGAATAGATATAAGAACAATAGCTCATTGATGAAGCTGAATGAGTTCTGAAGTGGGAGATGGAAATGTATGTAGCGGAGGTGGTTGAAAAGAAGTGCTAAGTGGACTGCTGGTTTGGAGTGGTTAAAAATGAAGCAATGCAATAAAAAACATGGAATTATCATAAACGATTGACAGAGTATAGCATGACAAACATAGTTGTATCTCATTGATGAGGGAAAGTTATTATCTTTATGGTGATAAAGTGAAACTTTAGCATTAGTGTTTATGATGCAGTGGACAGTCATTCATTCTGGTTGTACGCTTTCCTTGTAAAAGAAAGGCTAAAGAGTTGCCATGCAGTACTTGTCCTCTTACTTCTATAACTGAAAGAAAAGATAATATGCAGGCACTCTGTTGTGGCTTGCGATATGAGACTTTTTGCTGCTAATTTGTTTTTTTGATCATCCTACACTTTCCAGGTTTTCACTTTTGGTTCAGTACCCTTGAAGACTTACCTTCCTGATGGTGACATTGATTTAACTGCCTTCAGTAATAATCAAACTTTGAAAGATACATGGGCTTATCAGGTTAGAGATATGTTAGAGGAGGAGGAGAAAAATGAAAATGCTGAATTTCGTGTCAAGGAGGTTCAATACATTCAAGCTGAAGTATGTCTTCTACACAACCTCCATTTAATTTAGCATTTGCATTTAATGTGCTTTTAGTTTTGTTGCCGAGGGTCTATCGGAAACAACCTCTCTACCTTCACAATATAGGGCAAGGCTGCATACACCCCACCTTCCTCAGACCCCACTTGTAGGATTACACTAGGTATGTTGTTGTTGTGCTCTTAATTTTCTTGCATCAGTACATAGTAGGAAAAAACAGGTGATGTGTATAGGGTTTCTTTTCTGCAGTGATTGGAATTATATCCTGGTGGCAGAGTTAAGGTGTGTTAGAGAGCTCTGTTCAGGTTTCGTCCAATTTTGAGAACAATGGATGGGTGAAAATAGTTTCTTTTGTTGTTTATATTTAACCTGAATGGTATCTGCATTCTCTGGGCCTTAAAGGAATATTTTAGAGGAAATGAAGTCTACCATGATATCTATATATTCTCATTTTCTTCTGCCTGTTGAGAATAAAAACAATGTCATGCTGAAAGAATTTCCTTTTTCTCTTATCAATTTGATAACAGAAAGTCAAAGAATTGATTGCATTGTTCAAATATCTTTCTTTCACATGATGGTTTGTTATCATGGTAAACTTACCATTCATCAAGATCCTAAGTCACACTACGATGGTTTGGGAGAGGGGGCTGGAGTTGAGGGTCAGGAGGATCGTGACTATGTCTGTGAACCAATCTGGATTTATGCCAGGTTGCTCAACCACAGTAGCCATTCATCTCGTAAGGAAACTGGTGGAGCAGTATAAGGAGAGGAAAGATTTACATGGTGTTCATCTCCCTAGAAAAGGCTTATGACAAAGTCCCCAGGGAGGTTCTATGGAGGTGCTTGGAGTGAGAGGGAGAGGGAGAGGTAGACGAAAGAAGTATTGAGGAGAAGTGATTAGATAGTACATGACAAAGTTGCAGCCAACTAATGATGTGACCTTAGATAGGAAGGTATGAAGGATACGAATAAGGGTAGAAGGTTAGTAGGTAGGATTACATCCATACTAGTAGGTAGGAGTGCATTGTCTTGTTGCCCTTACTAGTAGTTGTAGTACTACACTTGTAGTTTGTTGTTCTTCGGTTCTTGTTAATATTTGTTGTTTCATGTAGTTAAATTATGATATTATTTAGTTGTAGTACTATCTGCTAGTATCTGTTGTTTTTATTATCATCTATTGTCTCTTGTACTTCCATAATGCCTTTTTCTAAACTGTTTTTGTTTTGAGCTGAGGGTCTATCGGAGACAACCTCTCTACTTCACTCTGAGTAGAGGTAAGGTCTGCGTACACTCTACCCTCCCCAAACCCCACTTGATTTTTTCAATCAAAAAATCCTTCTCAATTTTATTACTCCCTCCGTCCCATTTTATGTGACAACATTTGACCCGGCACGGAGTTTAAGAAATAATGAAGACTTTGAAATGTTTACCAAATTGCCCTTCAAAAAAGTAAACTCACCTTTCTCTCTCCTCATAAAAGTATTAGAGTACTTAAGTGGGACCAACAAGGGTAAAAGAGGAATTGTACCTTTAAATATTTATCATATTAAGGAAATGTGACATTTTTTTTTGGGACTGACCAAAAAGAAATGGTGGCACATAAAATGGGACGGAGGGAGTAATTAATAATAATTATAACAACAACTATGAGTATATGTAAACCCCCAAGATAAATTTGTGGGACTACACTAGGTATGTTGTTGTACGCTTGTACCATTCGTCAAGACATATTTCATTGGTCAAATGTCTTGTCTGTGACTCTCTTTAGATCTCATATGTTAAGAGTTGTAGATTTAGTGAAACATTTTACTCTTGCATTTATTTAAGACTCATCTGTGCTGCCTGATTGCTAATTAGCGTGGCATATGTATTTCTGGATTGAGGTGTTCAGTATCAAGAGCAGGAAACTGAAAACTTGTATTCCTTCATCGGCTTAGTTCATTGCTTTAAAAATGATGAGAGATGATACAGAAAAAAGAATGATCAAAGATGTCATTTGCAATTTGTTATAGTGTTATTTATGTGCGTTGGTGTAAGGGCGTCTTATTTACCCCCTTGTTCTGTTTGTTAGTCTGTCTGTTTGTCTAGCGCTGTTAATGGGATCTTCTTGAGCTAGCTGGAGGGCTTCTGTATCCTGCAGTTACTGTATCCTACTGTTTTTGGATCTTTCTGATTGGGGTCTTTGAGTGTAATTTTATTTTTCACTGATGTAAGCTTCATATTTTTGGTAACACCTGGCACTATATATGCTATTTCTTGCGCCTTGGGGACTTTCTCAGGGAAATGGCATATTGGTTTCTGTGGTGTTTTTGCAAGTTTTGAGTTATTTCCCTCAATTTACAGTTTCACCTGTCGAGGATTTATCATAAACAACCTCTACCCTAGAAAAGTAGGGGTAAGGTCTGCGTACATCCTACCCTCCTGGCCTCCCAGACCCTTGTGGGACTACACTGGATTAGTTGTTGTACTTAACACTTCTACAGGGGGATGAACTTGGTTAATGAGTATATTATAGGGTTGAGGAAGAGGCTTTTTTTATTTGAGTTATTGAAATGTCATTAGGATTAGTAGCTAATATTTTAACATGAACAGTCAATCATTTATTTATAGTGTTGTGTTATTATGATACTTGGAGTAGCCAATTGCTGCTTAAGTTTGGTTGTTATACTTCACATTTCTTCATTTGTGTTCCTGTGCACCATAACCGTTTATATTCTTTATTTTTGTGTGCACTCACCTTTCATTGTTCTCTTCCCCTTTTCTATTGAAGGTGAAGTTAATAAAATGTTTAGTTGAAAATATTGTGGTTGACATATCTTTCAATCAGCTAGGCGGTTTGTGTACCCTTTGCTTCCTTGAGGAGGTATGTAGTTTCTTCTTACGTTGTTAAAAAGCCTAATATTTGATTCATAACATTAATATACCATTTTATTTTCAGTTTCCAAAAAAAAGGAAATGAATTCTTTACGTTGTTCATCTTTTGCAGGTCGATCATCTGATAAACCAGAATCATTTATTCAAGCGCAGCATTATTTTGATTAAGGCATGGTGTTATTACGAGAGCCGTTTACTGGGTGCTCATCACGGTCTTATTTCAACTTATGCTTTGGAAACCTTAGTTCTTTATATATTTCACATGTTCAACAATTCGTTTGCTGGGCCGCTTGAGGTTACTAAGTTTTTACTTTTGCTTTTTTCTCTTTCTGTTTTCTTTTATTTTGAGGTGTACTTAGTGTTGCATTCATCATCTGTAAACTTTAAGGTTTTGTATTTATACTTCATTCTCAAAAAATGTTTTGTATTTATACTTGCAGGTTCTGTATCGCTTCTTGGAGTTCTTCAGCAACTTTGACTGGGACAACTTTTGTGTTAGCTTGTGGGGACCTGTGCCAATTAGTTCGCTTCCTGATGTCACTGGTAAAGATATGCAGAAGAGTCACTTTTAGTTCAGTTTCTCTACTTTGTTGTGAGTTTATTTGTTAGCTTAAGTGTAGTTGGAACATGCAGCGGAACCTCCTCGAAAGGATAGTGGCGAATTGCTCCTCAGCAAATTGTTTCTTGACGCCTGTAGCTCTGTATATGCTGTTTTCCCTGCTGGCCAGGAAAACCAAGGACAACCATTTATGTCTAAGCATTTTAATGTGATTGATCCTTTACGAGTAAACAACAACCTTGGCCGCAGTGTGAGTAAAGGTACTCAAACTTTGAAAGTTTTTAATGACATCCTTGTTTTTTAAAGTAGTTTCCAATAGTTATATTTTTATTTAGGCATATCACCTATGATGTCTTAGCTTGTGAAGATTTACTTAAATTTAGTTGCGATTCAGTTTTTCTCTTGATTTCATTTTTCTTGGTTTATAAAAACTCGTTTCTATCAACCAATCCAAAAAGATGAATCAATTTGTCTTTGGTGTATTTAATTGGAAGGTTGCAAGCAGGGCACTCTACGGGTTCCTTTCTTTTTCAACTGATGTTAGTGAAATCTATGTTCTGTGGTCAGTTGTAGATATTTATGTTTATGTTTTTTTGTTTTTGCTGTTTACTCCTGTCAATTTTGGACTGATGAACAGCTAAGAGATGCATTGAGAAGCTTCTTTATTTTTGTTTTGGGTGGGGTTGGTTGGCTGTTGGAAATCAATTTTTTTCCGCTCCCTTTGTTGCTCTCTTTCAATAATTTTTGTCTAAATGTTTCATGCATCTATTGATACTATTTTCTTTTGAGTTTTGGTATGCTCCATGTTATGCAATGTAATTCTTTGAACAAGATGCGAGTCTTGGATGGTTTGAAGGTTTTTATTTTAAATTTCTGTGTAGATAGATCCCTAGAAAAATGTTTGCTGGTGCCTTTGAAGAGCAAAGAGTTAAAATCTCTTTTGGCTTATGTATTGCTTGTCTTAGGCAAACTTCTATGGACTAATTATGATACTATTCACTTAATTCTAAAAGACCCACTTGTATGGTTCGTAGTACTTTGCACCGAAATGGGTTTTTGGCATGAATTCTCTTGCTGCTTCATGTGGATATGATTTGTGTTGTTGACAGGTAACTTCTATAGGATACGGAGTGCATTTGGATTTGGTGCCAAACGACTGGCAAGATTACTGGACTGCCCCGAAGAAAATGTCATTCATGAAGTAAATCAGTTCTTTATGAATACATGGGACAGGCATGGCAGTGGTCAAAGGCCAGATGCACCTGGGGCTGAGTTGTGCCCGAGATTGGCATCACTGGATGACCTACCTGACTCCGAGTACTTGAGGGTCAACTCTGGTGAGAAAAAGGTGAATGAAAAATCTTCTGGTCATGGTGTTGAGGTGGAAGGAACTGGATCGCGGATTGTTTCCTCTCAACATGGTAATCATTTAGCTGGAAGCTTCTCTAGAATGAATGATTCAGCTGAATCCTCTTATACCGAGAGCCAAAAGAGTTATGGAAATTTGAGCACCTCAAGGGGATCTGATCAAACGAAAAAGGAGGTCACTTCCACTCAGGTTGTACGTTCTGATAAAAGTCACAGAAATTTGAGATCTGATCAAACAGTGAACGAGACACAGGGTAAGTTTGTTTTTGCTAGAACACGGTCTAGTCCTGAACTGACGGACACATATGGTGAAGTTACTTCTCAAGGAAAGCATGGCAATACTCCAGAGACTGCAAAAATGCAACCTACTCCATTGAGGCAGGATGGCAGGAACTGGAGGAAGAATCAAGGATCTGAAAATTTAGCAAGTCAGAGTGGTCGATCTCTAAACAATGATGCATCATCTATCAGACATTTTCCATCTCATCAAAGTCTTGATGCCGTCGCTGACTCCAACAGTAGATCAAATAGCTTTAACCAAGATGCAGGTTTAGATGCTCCGAATGAAGAGTTCTCATTCACGGGTGGTACACAGGGGATGCATCAGGATGAGCAAGATCTTGTGAACCTGATGGCATCGACTTCACTCCACAGTTTTAATGGACAAGTTCATTTGCCATTTAATTGGGCTTCAGCTCAACTGCCTTTCCCTATCTCACCTTCTGTTCTGGCTTCAATGGGATATAATCAACGAAATTTTCCGGGATTAGTTTCAGCTAATTTTCCTGTGATTGATCCTGCATCTTCCAATATGCAATTTCCTCATGGTATGATTGCGCCCCACTTAAATCATTACATCCCAGGTCTTGGGTTGAGTCCATCTTCTGAAGATACAATTGACCGGAATAGTGAAAACTTTAGTTCTATGGATATGAACTCAGGTGAGGTGATCAAAGACATCTGGCATGAGCCAGATGCAGGCTCCACCGTCGAATTTGACCCAGAAAATGGAAATTATGAAGCACCTCAATGTGATCATAAGCCACATGCAATCCAGTCAGGTTTTGATTTTGTTCCTTCCTCTTGGGTGAGTAGCTCTAGTACTAGAGCTCAGCAGAAGCATACAAAGGAAAAACGTGGGCCAATCAAGGAAGAACATTCTGATGATATTCAGTTTCAGGATAACAGAATGAGGGATGTTTATGCTGAAGAAAGATGGGCAAGTTCAAGGTTCTCAACCACTGCTCACAGTAGTTCTGTGAGAAGCAAAACCTCTTCTGAGAGTTCTTGGGATGGTTCTTCTTCTAAAAGTACAAAGTCAACAAGGGGAAGACGGGGAAATAAAACAGGTGCTGCAGAGCCAACTACTGGTTATGGAAAAGGTAAGATGATGTCTGACCATATTTCTAACCATGCTGAGGAGGATGATCAGGATTGGAACTCCGTGTCAACCCTGGGTACTGAAATGGCTGAGGGAAGCCAAGTACCTCAATCTGTTATTTCCATGCACATTGCAAGGCATCATCTGCCTGAATACGAAGGTGCTCAGCCAAGTGGATCCGACTCAATAATGCCCATTGCACCAATGCTCATAGGGCCTGGTTCTCGGCAAAGAATGACTGATAATTCTGGGGTTTTTGCATTTTATCCCACCGGACCACCAGTTCCCTTTCTTACAATGCTCCCAGTATATCCTGATGCATCAACCAGCCACTTTGGAAGAGAAGAATGCTTTGATAATCGTGATTTAGGCCACAACCTTGATCTGTCTGAGGGTCTTGATCACACTGAAAATCTGAATACTTCCCATGCTATTAGAGGAGCTACTTCCATAGAAGCATCTGGTGGACACAGGTCTGATATACTTAACAGTGACTTTGCTAGTCATTGGCAAAACTTACAATATGGACGGTTTTGCCAAAATCCAAGGCATCCCGGGCCTCTTGTTTATCCTTCTCCTGTTATGGTACCACCTGCATACTTACAGGGTCGTTTCCCATGGGATGGTCCTGGAAGACCGTCGTCAGCCAACATGAACCTTTTTACTCAGCTGATGAACTATGGTCCTCGTGTATTACCCATTTCACCGCTACAGTCTGTTGCAAATAGACCTCCCAATATGTTTCAACAATATGTGGATGACATACCAAGATATCGTAGCGGGACAGGAACATATTTGCCAAATCCAGTAAGAAAGTTGCTAAAAAAAACTATTTATTGATTGATATTGTTCTATTCCTTGGTTGTTGGAGAAGGTACATTCTATATTATTATATGAAATGTATGCAGAGTACTTGCACAGTTTTGTCTTCACTTGTCTATTAGTCTTTTTTCTTCTTCAGATCCCCAAGAGTGACTATTTGATCAATAAAAGCATCTCAATGTTTCACTAGTTGCTTTCAAACAATAATTTTACTACAAAGAGATGCTTCTGTCACTGGCGGGATGTGGATATTATGCTTGTACTAAGTTCACTTAATTCTTTTAAGAAAAGAGCAATGCTTGTTCCGAGTATTAAGACAGTATTTTTTTTGTAAGTGGAAAGCCTCACTTGGCTTTGCTTTATCATGTCTTTCATTTGATGCTGAGGGGTTCAATGAGCATTTGCCTATTCTATGTCCATGACGCTCAGATACATCACCTGGTCTGGTTTTCCTAGTTGGTGAAACTAGATTTCATGTCTGTTCACAGTGCTTACTTTTGTGTTTTGCCGTATAAATCATGTTTACTAAGATGTGTGGTACTGTCATTTCTGGTGGAGATTTTACTTTTTACAATTTGACTGTTTCTTCAGAAGGCTTCAGTCAGGGATCGACACGCTCCTGGTACAAGAAGGGGGAGTTACAACCATGACAGAAACGATAATTATGGTGAGGGGAACTGGAATGCAAATTCAAAATCCCGTGCTGGTGGTCGCAACTACAACCGCAGCCAATCTGAGAAAGTAAACTCAAGATTGGATCGTCCAGTGTCCAGTGAGAGCCGAACTGACAGGTCATGGAGCTCCTCTCATAGACACGACTCCTTCCCTTCATATCAGTCCCAAAATGGTCCATTGCATGCAAACTCAAGCCCAAGTGTCCCTCCCAATATGGTGTATGGCATGTATCCTCTATCATCAATGAACCCTAGTGCAGCGTCTTCAAATGGACCTGGTGGCCCTCCAGTTGTAATGTTTTATCCATACGACCATAATTCTACTTATAATAATTCACATGGAGAACAGCTTGAGTTTGGGTCTATGGGTCCCGTAGGCTTCTCAGGTACAAATGAACAAGCCCAGCCAGGTGATGGAAGTCGACCAAAGGGAGCAATTGAAGAACAGAGATTTCATGCAGTCTCTGGGCAACGGTCTTCCCCTGATCAACCATCTTCACCTCATTATCAAAGGTAATATTTTAGTTCGTTTTAAAGATACAACGAACTTGTTATTTGGAGAAGTTCATTAGAGTCAATAGTATTTTTACTTGTGTTTAGCTGATTGTTGCTTGTTATAGTTATGTCAAATCTGTTTCCACGCGTGCCTTGACATCCAGTTTCTCTACCTTTTTTTTCTGGGATCATTGACTATGAGAAGTCGTGGCAAAATATGCCTATGATGAACATTGTATCAGTACGTGCTGCCAACAAGACACTTAATAATTGCAGTTTGAACACAGAATAGAAGCTGAAGCACTTATGAAATACTTGTTTGAGATTAACTATAATAAAACTTGTTTTGGTTTGTTCAAATGGTAGATTAATGGGGAGAAGACCTCACTCTTGGGTTTAGTAACCATGGCAAGTAAAGTTAAATATCAGAGATTGTATATATTTCCTCTGTATAGTTGCTTTTATCTTTTTTCAAAGACCCATATATGATTTAGATCAAATAAATGAAGGCTGTAGGGAGTACATTGTATTTCTAGTGTAGAATGATGCTCTGGCTAATAGGAGTACTTTTAATTCACTGCCTATTTCTTTATTCTTTCTTGGTGAAACATTTTTTAAGTTTGTCAATGCATCACACATCTCAGCAGTTGAGGATTTAATTTTCTCGAAAAAAATGTCATTTGAAATTCATCCCTTGAGTATTGTTAAACAGAAAGAAGACTGAGAAGTGGTGATACAAGGAACAGTGGCGAGGCCTGGCATTTTACTCATCATTCTTAGCCTCATGTCGAATTGGGCTTTCGTGCACTAGCTTTTTAATTTTTGCTAGTAAATGGTGGTCACTCACATCTTGGTGCCTAGATTCAACGGAAGATGTGAAGTCATGATTTAGCGGAAGCTGCCCCCTCTTCAACGACATCAAAGGTGAAATGTCATGTAGATTATTGACATATTGTAACCTCAGTGAATTTTAGGTGTTCAACTTGTTATATTAGTGTTACCATTGGAAATCATTTCCACAGGGAATGTACAAGAATTTTGTTTTACAAGATGACTCTGTAGTAGCTTTTGTTCACTCAGGATTTCAACAGTGTAGTGGTATATGATTACCATGGTGAATTTATTAGACTAAAGATTAGAATTCATTTCAATTATGATTTCTCTTACAGTTGCTACTACACCAGGAAGTTCCCTTTGATACCTGCAATGTCTTTGTTTATATATTTTTCAAAAAAATTATCACAGTTACAAAGGATGTGGCTCGGTGGTCAATGAAGTGGGAAAAGAACGTGAGGTCTCATGTTAAAATCTCACGGAGACGAAAACATTAGGTAATGTTTTATCATCTGTCTATGGCTTGACTTGAGAACTACTTTTTTAAGTCCAATTTGTCATGTAAAAATGTAAAGTTTGATATTAATATTTTTCAAATCTAAGTTCTATAAATTTATTAATTCTTTTTTGGTGATTCTTTTGTTTTATAAAAAGATTGGGTAATAAAATTCAAAGAAGGAAGAGAAAAGTTCTAATGCAGAATAAGAAAAAAGTAAGACTAAAAATGCACTTCACTTGTAGGAAAATGGTAATTGAGATTAAGTTTATTTTATTAAATATGCAATTACTCTTTTATGAAGATTATTAATGCAAATTTCAAGCTCTAATACTATGTGTAAATTTAATTTTAAAGTATAAAATTTGAAGTGGAATACACAAATCACATATAAAAAAGAGGAAGTGGTAGTTAAAAATTATTAATGAACGAAAAAAATAATGAATCAATTTATGAAAATTGTATAAAATTCACTTCAATGTATCAACCAACTAACTTATCTAACTAACAAAATTTATTAATTCATTAAATATTAGTTACAAATTTTATATTAAGCGGACAACACATAAAATAATAAAAAGTCTACTAAAAGAATATTTGTCATATTTTTACTTTATTAAGTTGATTTTATGGTTCATCCCACTTTAAAATATTGCTAGATTTTTTGTTTGAGGTCTTGACTCAAGCATAAATATATATGATCGTAACTTAAATTAGATACTCTCTATATTTTAAAATATTCCGTTCATATTAAATTACTTGACCTCTATTGATTCGATATATTTTTTAAGAAAATTTTAATTAGAGACATGTATTTAGTAAACTAACTTTATTAATGATATTTTAGATCTCAAAATTTGATTGCTAATATTATCTAGTTATTCAGATATTAAGAGCATGTTTGGATTAACTTAAAAGAAGTAGCTTTCAGTCAAAAATTGAAAAAGTCAAACTTAAGTAATTTTTAAATCAAAAATTAAAAAAAGGGAGAGTCCGACTTTTGGTTTTAATTTTTTTTAAAATTTTTTAAAACTTATTTTAAGTTATTTTTAATTTTGCCAAACATTACAAAAAACAAAAAATGACTTAAAAGTATGTTTGATCAACTTTTAAGCCATTTCAATCATACGCTAGAAATACTATGGAAAAATTCTCATAATTTGCTTAAATGACATCTATGTTTGATATATATATGTAACAAATCCATTCAGTCGTTTTGAGCGCAATAAATTTTTCTTTGATTAAATACTTTTCGATAGATTTTAAATGGGTGTTTTAGATTATTCATAATTAAAATTATGAAATTAGTGGGGTAGTTTTTTTAATTTATTGGGAGAATGCACAAGTACCCCCTCAACCTATGCCCGAAATCTCAGAGACACACTTATACTATACTAAGGTCCTATTACCCCCCTGAACTTATTTTATTAGTAATTTTTTATTCCTTTTTAGCCTACGTGGCACTAGTTTGGAAAAAAAGTCAACCATCATTGGACCCACAAGATAGTGCCACGTAGGTCGAAAAGGGGTAAAAAATTATTAATAAAATAAGTTCAGGGGGGTAATAGGACCTTAGTATAGTATAAGTGTGTCTCTGAAATTTCGAACATAGGTTGAGGGGGTACTTGGGCATTATCCCTAATTTATTTAGTTGGTGGTGAAGGAAAATAATAGTGAAATAAATAGTGGATCACTTTCACCATTTGTATAATTGGTCATATAAAAATTAGAATAAAATATTCTGAAAAAGAGAAATAGGGGTTTAGACGTGAAAACCTTACCTGCAGCGGTCAAGAAGCAGTTACCTCATCAGGTAATTAAAACTTTACTTGGATATTGGTTATATGGGCATGGTCATAGTATTGTTATATATTTTATTATAAAGTTGAATTGGAAGATTATTATTATGGTTATTTTATTGATTGGAAAAGGGGATATATATGTATATTATATATTGGTGTTATATTGTTTTACAAAAGAAATTGGGGTGCAATTATAATGTGTGTATTTCAAGCATTAGTATGAATTAAGATGCAATGGTGGCGTTCTAACGTGTGTATTTCACATTAGTATTAATATTTTGTTCTTGCATTATAGAATATATTTGAATTTTATTAAAGTTTTGTTAATTGGAGGAATTAAGACTTATCCTTAGGTTTGAACTTTTAGGAAATGAATTATAAAATTAGGTGAGTTGATGAGGTATAGGCTAGACATAGGATAATCTGAGTGTTTATGGGCATGTTAACTTACACATTATGCATATATATACTTGATAGATTGGAAGGGTTCATAAGCATTGAGGGAAGAAAAAGCATTGGAGAAGTAGTGCTTGACTTCGGTTCTTCCGTGGAGGTATGTTATAATTTATTTCTATTTGATAGATAAACTCTTAATAGCGATGATATGTATGGAGTGATATTGTGAAGTTTCTTATGTACTTGTTTGTGTGGTTTGTGGTTGACCTAAAATTCTGAGACCGTTGAATTTATAATCTTGAACTCTCTCTATCGAAATGACGCCTTGAATAAAGAAGACTAGATGAAATAAATTAATAAGATAATTAGATCATAGTGTCACATTCTGACGCAATATTATTTGATTGGAGTGTCACGTTCCGACACGATATTATGGGATTAGAGTATCACGTGTCGACACGATATAGGGATCGGAGTGTAACGTTCTGATATAATAATATTAAAGGAAATGAATCTTGAATTAACGTAATATACTCAATCTCAAATAACCCATTATCCAAATGAGTATGTTGCGGAGGCATGAGTTCTCATAGGTGTGCTTGATATTGTAATTGATTGTGGACCTACTATGGCGTTGTTGTCACTGGTTCATGTTGTTTGTTGCTTGCCACCTGCCAAGTATTGTAGTTGATTTTATATTATTATTCAACATATATTGATTTCTATTTTGATTGACCGATGATACCTACTCAGTTTGTGTTTCTTGTACTGACACCTACTTGCATTTTCTTCATTTTCTTTTGTGGAGTGGAACAAGTGTACTATCAACTTCGACTCGCCCTCAGCTCTAGCCAGTCTCAATCACATCAGAGTTCAGGGTGAGCTATTATTTCTAGCTCGTGCTGGATATTCTCATTTATGTCATGATGTTCTTAAATTTCGGACATGGACCATCTGATTTACTTATTTCGGTATTTTCAATATTCTTAGACTAAGTATTTGGAGATTAGATGTCCTTGATGTGATGACTTTTAGGTTTTGGGAAATGAAACATTTATAAGTTTTGAAGCTTCCGCATTATTTTTGTTCCATAGTTGAATTATTGATATATATTGAGATTTGAATTCCTTGGTTCGCCCACCTAGGAGGTTAAGGTGGGTGCCACTCACGACTCGATTTGGGTCGTGACAATATATATATATATATATTATATAAAAATTAGTGAAAATTATTAGTTGTAAATTGTTTACCTCCTTAATCTAGTGTTGCATTATCATAGTCACCAGTAATGACAAAAAAATATTTAGAAAATGTGATAATCCTAATGGATGAAAAAAAATCAATTTATACAAATTGATGAGATATAATTCAATATACAAATCAGTTAATTAATTAACAAACGAATTTGTTATTATTAGATATTAGTAGGAGCGACTGACATTTGTTGAAGAAAATTTTTGACACTAGACTCTCATTTTTTAGATTATTAATTAGAACTAGAGCTGTCAAAATGGGTTTGACCTGCTAGGTCGACCTAACCCAACCCTTGAATTAAACGAGGTTGTGTTTAATTTTTTCAACCCATTTAGGAACGAGACTTTTTAGCCAACCTTATTTGATCCTCTAGCCTCGTAGACCTAACCAGCAAGCCTCAGAGGTCAGTCTGTGGACTATGATTTTTAAAAATATTTATTATATATATTTTAAGTAGTGTTTTAGTGATTAAAATTTCATCACTAAATATTTTTAATAATCACTATAAAATCAAATCTAACTTCTTTACATATCTTTTACATTAAGCGTCATTACTCACTAAATTTTCTTATTATCTTAGGTTCATTACTCGATTATAACTATGAATTTTTTACCTCTTTTAGTTTTATTTTTTATGACTAATTTTTCACTTCTTTATTGTTTTGTTTATGAAGAAAATGATCATGTAATATTTTTTGTCAAATGAACCTAATGAATGTTGTATCTTTAATATTATGTTTTTGTTTTGTAAATATTTAGTGAAGTATGTGTAATTCATGAATGAATTTCTGTAGGTAATGATGCAGTGTTCATGAGACATAATGTGCGTACGCTTTTTAAGAGGATAATGTTGTTCATTTCATGGTTGAAGGATCAATTCGTCCCAATCCCTAACCCGCTTACAACTATGGGTGGCAGCGAAACCGAAACGTTTCAGTCCCGTTTCGTTACCTGTCCGGTTCTGACTAGTTCCGGTAAGGATCAATAGGTACGGGGTGTGGGACAGGTAACAGAACGGAAACCGGACTTTACTGCTTAATTCCGGTCCAATAAATCCCAGGCCCTGCTCCAATTCGGTCCATTTTTGTAAAAAATAAAAATAAATTAAAGAATTAACCGTTGGGCAACGGATAGCGGGGCCCACCAATAACTTTTTCACCCAATTTACTCCACCTCACACCCTCTACCCCCCAACTTTTTTTAGTAACCCAAACTTTTAAAAACTACATTTTCACCTTTTTATTACCTATAAATACCTCAAAATTTTCATTCTTCACTCACAAAAAAATATTTTTTACTCTCTCAACTCTCTACTCTCTAATCTCTTCTTCTTATTGAAATTACGTATTTGGTTTTTGGAAATTGAATTTGGGGTTTCAAAATTCAACTTTCAACT